ACCCTCGTGAGGGTAACCCGCGTGGCCCTCGTGAGAGTAATCCTCGTGACCCTCGTGAGGGTAACCCTTTTCAGGGTAACTAACCCTCGCAACCCTCGTGAGGGTAACGCTCGTGACCCTCGTGGGGGTAACCGTCGTAAGGGTAAACCTCGTGATCCCCGTGAGGGTAACCCTCTAACCCTCTTGAGAGTAAACCTCGTAACCCTCACGAGGGTAACCCTCGTGACGTCATTATGGGAAACTTCCCAGAATGCAACACGCGGTTACGCCGAAGCCTAAGAGCTGCGCTCTAAAATATTTGACATATATGGTTCCGCCATATTAAGCAGTGTTTGAAAAGACATGTTTGTAGCCCCCTTCTAAGATGAAAAGATATGGGCCGTTCCCAAATCTTTTACGTAACGTGACCATGTTATTCATGATGTACCTCATGTTGCATTTAGTAAAAATGAAGCATGACTGGTATGTTATGATAAATAAAAAGTTAATCCACATGGATCCAGTTCACGTATAAAAACAGAAGATTCGCAGCTTTTCTGTAAATACACTTTTTGAAACGAGTTTATTTTTAATTAACAAGCAAAAAAAGTTGTTTCACGAACATCTGTGTTAGCAATAAAAGGGCGAGATAAAATATGTTCAGAATCCCAGCGGGTCGAGTGCGAACTTTCGGCTCTTTCATGCGGCCGCATTTTCACGTATATTGGCGAGGCTCGTTCAAAACTTTTGCACTTTCTTTTTATTTGATGCAATAAAAGAATACAGATAAAGGGGGGAAATGTATAACATTATATTGAATTTTCAGTATTATAAACTCACAGTAACGTTTATAGGGATAAAAGAAAAAGTGATTTTAAGTGAGGTTAAAATTACTCATGACGATTAGCTTTTTTTTTTATTTTTATCACAATCCTGAAAACCCGTTTTTCTTTTGAGCCTTCATTCACAATAGCAAGACTGGATGTTTTTCACAAGACTAAAAAAAATCAATTCTTTTTTCACTCTGTCGCGGTATTTGGCGAGGCATGCTGCTTTACTTTCGAGGAGTACAATTCCAGGCGATTTCGGGGCCACTACAAGAAAAAAAATCACCAGCACTTTTAATGGTTTCGAGTTCTGTCGACCTGGGAATGTGCCAAAAGGCTTGGTGCTTGAGGCCTCTCACGGCGCCATTACACGCACTTCTGCCAAGTCCCACAGCTTAATAAATCAATTTGGTCACCTCATGTCTCTTCGCCATCTCGTACAGCTGCAACCAATTTTTTAAATGACCAGCCTCCCGGTCGGAGATGTGGACAAGTTTTGCAAATATCGGAATGTTTTCTTACAGCCCCTCTTCATCTGCGCGCAGAGCGAACAGTGCGTTTGCTGTATTGTGCACGATGTCGTCGCTGACGACTCCGAAGCTGTAGATTTTGCTGTCCGTTTCAGCGACGCTAGCGCAGATAGACACGATTTGGTTCTTCCAATGAAAGCATTGTACCGCTCACGGAAGAACGACGCTCCAGTTTTACGTAAGATCAAAATGCAATACGATGGTACGAGCCTTGAGAAGCGACTTTTATGAGCTAATAGCAAGCCGCTGAGCATGTCGGATGAATCAATGGGGGAAGTACTTTGTTACGCACTTTCTGAGCTCACTGCAAAATGCGTTACTTCCCACTTGTTTCTTTCGCAGTTGGCTAGATTCCCACGAATCTGCTTCGATTTATTCGTCTTCCTTCATTGGCAACGATGCCAGTGTTAAACCATCTCTTTTTGGACACACCTTACAGGTCTGCAGAACGCGCTGCTCAGCTGGGTTAGCACACAGGCAAAGTCTCTCAATGTCTTCAAGACATTAAGAGACGTGGGCGACCAAGACATTAAGTCTTGGTCGCCCACGTTCAATATTGCTGCCAGGTAAAGAGTTTGTTTCTCCCTCTCTCGGTTTCGGTGAACTGTGTCGAACAAATTGAGATGAGATACCCGATATGTGGACAGCATAGAACCTGTCACCAAACCGAAGCGAAAGGTAAAGACTGACGCTCTCGAAGGCGGCTGCACGAGGGCTTTAGCTTTGGTAGCTCCTCCCGGTAATCACAGGTTGTCTATAGCTTCTTCCTTTCCATCACGCATATAGATCGCCATAGGGTAGTCGTTTCCAATGTTCATAGTGACCCTGTCTGTATTAAATGAACAATCACGTTGCAGCTATCTAAAATTGGTATGCGACACTCATAGAGTGAAAAAGAGTGGCGACATGTCCATGTCCGGCTCAGACCGTGGAATTCCCTTTCCTTCCTATAGTCTCCGTCGAAGTAAAATATTCAAGACCGCTTACGAGAATCTTGAAGGTACTTATATCTCAACTAGAAAAAGTAAATATAAAAAAGGCGAAATTAGGCAAGATGCGCACATTGCAGAAAAGCGAGAGCCAAAGGGGCGCGATGCTATCAGAACTGATAGTTTCACGCCAAATCATTCTACGAGGTTTGGAACGCATGTTTGGTTTCGCAAACATTGAAGTGCCAAGAGTAGAAACGGAGATTGGGACGTTTTCACAAGCCTTGCTTTGCTCACGTGTAAAGAAAGTCGTTTCAAGAAAGAAAAAAAATCATGCACGCTTATTGAAGTGCTTGGCGAACTGTCGCTTTGAAATGTTTTTTTCCCACAAATGGTCTATTACCCCATTAATTTTTTTTTAAAACGTTCTATATATGATTGTTAATTTCATATGACAACGCTTAAACAATATTTAAGACATACTCGATTTCTGTAGTTTACTAAGTAAGCCAACTGAAAGGTTACTACAAATACTATCGATGTATAAGTCTGGCCGAGCTGTGTGTGGAGTTGAGAATCAATAAAACGTATGATCGTGTTACAAAAATAAATAATATTTAAGTGAAAAATAAAATAACAAAGATATGCTCCCTAGAATGGAGGTACAAATATATGTCAAAGAAATGTATAAGAACACATAGAAAGCTTTTTATATAGAAGAATACGGATGTCCTAAAAATAATGTTGCATTTTGTATTTTTAGCACTTTTCAAGTTTACAGTGTTGTTTCTTCTATACAAACTATACCTAAATTAACATTATTGTAAGTTTTAAATAGGCTTAGAGACAAGCTTGTTTGATACGTTTCTTATGACTTAAATAACTGTACATCGAAAGCTAGCTCGGTTCAAACTTGGTCCATTATTGTCAAAGGTCCAAGATATTTTATTTCCTAAAGTAGTATATATAATTATATATATATATATATATATATATATATATATATATATATCACTTTAGGAAACTATTACATTTTGTATGAAGTGTGCAACCTCTTTGTTGTCATGCTAATTTGTACACTTTAAGCTGTGCGTGTGCTCTGTTTCTTCTTTTTGTTTTGTGTGCGCCAATGTGAAAATCCGCGTGGTTGTTTTTGGGCACCTTAAATAAACAAATTATTATTATTATTATTATTATTAACCCTTCTATACGAAGCTTTAAGGAGTAAAAAAGTTATCATTATTGTGAAAAAGATAATCTAAACATTCAAGACTCCAAAATGTGTCCCTCGTGAAAACTAAAAAAAATTCGGAAGACCTACATTATGCCCTTTTAACCCCCTCCCCCCCCCCCCCCCCCCCCCCCCCCCCGCTCCAAAAAAAAAAAAAAGACAGGAAATGTGCCGTGGTTCTAATTTGCAGCTTTGTTCTAGTCTCGTATTTTTTACCAATATATATTTTTCCAAGAACTTTTGAGAAACCATCATTTGCTCTTGCACGATATATGATATGAAATCCCTTGCGTTTGGTTAGCCCTCTTAAATCACTTTTCAAGAACCGATAGAAGGGGCAAAATTAAGCATTCGTTTGTCGAGTTTCTTCCATTTAAATTAAATAAATTTTCGTATATTGTCCCGCTCACTTTTAACGCAGAGTTTATTTCCGAACCTTCACTCGATAATTTTCTTTTAGTCTGAAAGTCTGCTCAAAAATATTTTAGTGATTTTTGGAAATCGACTGAGTTTTCATCGGAAGACCGTTCGTGTATTCTAAGGATTCATCAAAAAAAGAAAAAAAAAAAAGAAAAAAAGGAATTGCCCAATGAATTCATGAAGCAAACAAAGAGACGTGGCATTCGGACGCAATGAGACTGGCGTGAAATTGTAATAAAATTCAAAATACAGTGTTAAAAAAAGAAATTCAGGGAAAATATAAATTTTTTAAGAGCAGTTCTTGAAGATGTACGAAATGCAAACAAGCGAATAACAATAATAATAATAATAAAAAATCATTATTCGCTAGAGTCTTTGTAATAGGCTCTCTTTTCTGCCGCATCAACATTTCTTAGCGTGCATGCCAAGGAAGAACTATTAAGGGGCGAAGCTCCTTGTCCGTCCGGCGTCCGTGCTCACATCGATGGCCATGTGTGGGGAGACCCCAATGGATTTCTGGTCCATCGCCTTACCCACTCGGCCACGACTGCGGGACGAGTAGGGGGCTCGGAGATGTGGTAGTAACTCAAGAGCTGGGGATGTCATGAATGAAACGTTGCATGAAACGACTATTAAAAAAAGTCAGCACCATCAGGACTACCTATGAGCAAAATCAGTATCATAAGCACCACCAGAGCTTCACCCCAATCAACATCATCCACCACGTGGAGATGCGGTCATTTTTTTTTTTTACTTTCAGAGGGAAAATCAAAATTACAAATAGATTCTCATATGTTCAAAAAGTGTTTAATATTAAAGCTGTAACAAAAAACGACTCGGAATTCGATACTCAAGGGAGGCAACCGCACACAGCGGAAAGACGCAAAGAGCAAAGCGGAGACATACTCGCCGCGCTTGGCGGTCGAAATGTGAAACAGAGGAACGGAGATTAAACGCACTACGTTAGAGTTGTGATTAGGATCATGGTGAGAACCGGGGCAGAAGAACAAACAAGACAAAAATTAACAAAGGTGAGGAACACGAAGCAGATATGCTTTTGAAAAGAACATTAGTCTACAGGAGAAAGGGTGTTTACAACGTTTATTAGTACCTGTCCACGAGGGACAAATGCATGCATATGGTGCAAATTCCTCTGGTTTGGCTTTGAGGAGAGGAACACTGTTCAAGGCTCACAGAGGAATCCGTGCTGCGTGTTCCGACAAGTTCCGTTCGAGCACGGCGCAGAACTACAATGGTCGACCCCTGCAAACAGAAACACAAAGACATGTGGAGGTTAACTTGAAAAACCTGCGTCTTCTAAGTTATTAATCTATGTGTTACAAATCCCGGCATGCGTTGAATACACATGTATATTATTGCGGACAAAAAAAACTTCAACAATCATTCCTGTTTGTTTTTGTGTGTGCATACCTGATGGCTTTTAAAAGAGCTTTGAATCAAACTATAGTCCTACATTGATGGGACGTAATAGTTAGGTTTCATTCTTTTAACTCTTCGACAGATAAAAGAATAGGAGCTTGTGAGAACTGCAGACGTAGAATAAAAAAAGAGTCGGATCGGGTGTTGCGGCTCACATAGTCGGTCGGGTATACTTGTCTTTTGGAAATACTATTATTTCTCGCGAAAACCGTTGAGGTTTGAAATATTTAGCCTCGCAGTACTGTTAGAGATGCTTGCTTTGTGAAAGTCTCTAAAGAGACGGTGTTGAATTTTGTTTTACGATGTGTAATTAAGCACTTTTTGTGCGAAAGTGCTTGCCGGACACCAATTTTTCTTAAACTCCGGCGGCGACGTGGTTATGACGTATATTTTGTGCATAACTTTCTTGTTTCGAGTCCTTGTCCTTCTTCCACAATTTACACGAATTAACGATATTTTAACTAAGACTGAAAATAATCGCTAGATGAGATGACCGAGCAAGACGCTCGCGCGCACACACAAACACAAACCAACCAAAGACACATCATCTATCAAGTCAGGGTAACAGCTACTGTATATGCGCAGCGAAGAACCGAACCCTGTAGGTCTACGTTCCAAACAAACCAAGGGCGTCGAGCGTGCCCTATAGTTATACGTACGAATGCAGTCAAACGAGGACTTGGACCCCTCCTGGAGTGTGGTTGTCGGAACCCTACACTCCTGGCACGTCTTCTGTCCCTGCGTCGTCTGGTAGAAACCTCTGGGGCAGAGCTGGCAGGGTTCGAGCCCGTTCTTAGAGTAGGACCCGGGCTGGCAGTAACCTGCACGCGAGGCATAATCGCGAAGGAAACATCTTGAATACAAATAAAGTAGTTCAAAGAAGGAGCACAGCATGTATGACAGGACAGACGCTCTTCTGTCTAACTTGCAAGTAAGACGGTACAGGCATTGGTCCTGTCTTACTTGCATGTCCTTGTCTTTTTCCTTTTCTGTATTGCTTGCACGTCTTTGTCCTATAGTTTCGCTCTTTATTCGTATTGTAATACACATATTATTCACATTTAAATACAGAAATTCACAGGGACATTCTTAACCTGTGTCCGACTATAGGAACATCTGGCATAAAGCCAGCAAGCTATCGAACACAGATTTGACCAAACAACGGCAACGTGACGTACGCTTGCAGTTGTCCTTGACGAGGCTTCCGATGCCTTCGGTGGTGCTTCCCCGCGGGCAGAACTGGCAGAACGTCTGCTGCGTCTTGTCCTGGAAGGTTCCCTGAGGGCACGCCATGCAGGGTCCCAGCCCAGTGCTCGAGTAAGTTCCAGGCGCACAGGGGGCTGAAACGTAAAACAAGAAGTCAGCGTGGTACGCAAAGAACGCGACATGGTTGGTGCCATTTTTGGCACGTCTTCGTTCTCCAGGGGACCCTGCGGTCCCCATGAATGCCCTACGGCTCTCGTGTTTGTATTTCTCTAATTCTAACGACATGAATTAGAATATTTTGAAATTCCTAATACGCGTTCGCGACTTTTGAGAATACCTAGAAAGAAAATCTGACAAGCACGAAACTTTCTTTTTAAGATACAATCAGCTAGCGGGAAAGCCAAGTATAAAAAGATAAGTTTTTCTCTGGCATTCGTCAAAGGCGTTCTGAATGCAGAGCATCCATAAGTACCCCATGACGACGTGTGTCATCTGATGTCACACTCCCACATGACGTCAGAAAGAACCTAGAAATACTATGCATTTAGAGTGCTTTTGAAATGATGTCACACTGTCACGCAACAGTGTCACGTCGTCGAGACGGAAGTTCACCGCGGTTGCGAAAGCAGTAAGTGTTGGCCTGTAAATCCTATGCATAATATAAGGAGCACAAACCTCGTGTTTTTTTTCTTTTAAATTCACATTTACACAGAGGCTTGCATCGCCGTCCGGCATTATAGCAAGGGTGAGTACATAAAAGATGATAATTTCTAACAAAAACATCGAAACACAATGAAACTTGTATAAACAGCAAACACATCTTTCAATAGCCAACCTATTACATTCTTCTATAGTTTTCAGGGAAAAATAAAAAAAAAAAACCGCAAAAACATCGGCACGGCAAAAATAGGGTGGGATCTTTTCCTGGTGGTGTACAATCCCTGATATATAAAAATGCTTCTGTAAAACCATTTCTCAACTGATTAGAAGGCGGTTGTTAAATACATCATCTAAAATTTTTTTCCTAAACATTTTTCGGTGTTCGACTATTGATCCCCACTTTAAATTCTCCTTCATGGTGGTGACACTCGCCCCGCATCGGTAATCATTTAAAACAAATCTAGCACACTGATTCTGTAATTTTTTCAGTTTTTCTATTATGTTGTTGTGGTAGGGATCCCACACATCCGCCGCATATTCAATACATGGGTGAACAAACGTAAAGTACAAAGTTTCTTTAATTTTGCGTGAGTCCTGTCGAAAATTTCGTGGTATAAAGTTAAGCCTTTAGAGTTATCATTTCCACACGAGCTTTCCACGTTAAATCGCTAAACAAAATCACCCCCAAGTATTTTATGCTCAAGATAGCCCGAATGATTTCCTTATTTATTATATAGGTAGAGCCAATGGAGCTTTTCTTTCGAGCAAATGTCACGTGAACACATACTTTTAAACGTTCAGGTTCATTTTCCATTTGTTGCACCGTATTGGAATATTGTCAAGATCAGCCTGTAAGAAATTTACATCATTCGAATAAATTAATCACTCTATGAATAATGCAGTCGTCTGCAAATACTCTAATATTTGATTGTATTCTATTAATATAATTTATTTGTACCAGGAAGAGGAAAGGTCCCAAATCAAAACCCTGGGGCGGGGAACACCAGATGTAACACCAACGTTATCAACCAACATAAGGTCGCACTTATTAGTTTTAACACCAGTGGGCGTACATGTATAACTCGCAAGACATCTGAGTACGCTCTTACGCTGGCAGTCGTCTAGGCTTTTCCTCTTTGGAGCCTCCGTTGATGTTCCGTTAGGGCAACTCTTGCACGAGGTGCGACCGTCATCGTCCTGGTAGGTTCCCATCGGGCACGGAGAACACAGGTCCTTCTCCATGTCGTGAAAGGTGCCGCTAGGGCAGATTGCTGAAATGGACGGTACGGAAACAACAGCTTGAAATCTAAGCCACCACGGACTCTCAATAAATTCTAGTTTGATTCCAAGAACAAACATCATTCTGTGTCTTCTACACCTCGTTTTGATGTCGGCTTTATTCGCTTCGAGAGCTCCTCTAAGTTTCAATACATTGGCCCATCTACGATAACGTGTTTTATAGCGTTAGGATCACATATTGGGAGCGTTTGTTTAAAGGGAGGATGGCGAAAGGGGAAAGCGGCAAGGCGTAAGCACTGACATCGGTAACCCAGAAAACGAAAAAATGAAATAGAAAAAAAAAACTGTCATTGTGTTAGGTTGATAATGCAATTAAATGCAAAGGTGCAAGCGAGCTGGACAAGAATGACGAAAATAATCCATGGAGAAGGGGAACAAAGAACAGACACAAATCTCCAAACATTAATCATAACCTTAAAAATATAAGCCGTTCGCCCTTGGTGTTGGACTGGTGGCAGCTGATAAAACCCGTTTGCTCTACTGACGTCTAACTCCTGGTTAGCTGAGTTGGTAGAGTGCTTCACTGGAAATGGAGGGGTCCCTAATTCGATACCAGGACCAGACGGCTTTTTTTCGGTCGCGCACCAGTCACTTAGCTGTGTTTGGAGATTTGTGTTTGTTCTTTGATCCCTTTGGTCAGGGATTTTTTTGCAGGGATTTTTTTCGTGAGTCATTAGGTTTTTCTTTGCCGCGACGAATGGAAGTTGTTGGAGTGCTCGTCGACATTATTTATTTTTATACAATGTCGGTGTTTTCGTGCAAAATAAAGCTAGAAGATCTCTATAAATACAGACCTTGCAAGTGACGTTTTTTTTTTTGCATTTTTCTCAACAAGATAGAGGGGCTTAGAGCGATAAACTGGAACACCGTTCACAGGGAAAAAATGACCCTCCCCTTGGCTGCCGCCATGTTGTTCAATTTTGACCACTAAACTCGCGACCGTACGGAATCCTGAGGCTTTTACGCAAAACTGAGCCAAGATTGTTACTGCGATCGCTGTGAAAAAAACACGATAAACTATCTTTTATATACTGTTAGCCCCAGAGATCAGTGTCTAGCTCCGATAAAAACCCAACATGCAGCACCGCGGCTGACGGAATCTAGCGGAGGTATTGCGAAGCTGCCCGAGTCTTCGGCATTAAAGCACATTTTGGACATAAAACGAACGAAACATAACTTATCTCGACGGTACTGTTATTAAAGGTCAATAAGCAATTATTTGTGCTCGGTACTTCGTTAAACTCTAGACGTAAAACCATACAATCGCGTATCTAAAGGTCACAAATGTGCAGCATGGCGACGGCCGATTGGGGGTCAGTTTTAGCGGCCAGTTTATCGCTCTGCGGCCCTCTACATCGTTGATCTATTTGCATATAAAGCGCGAAGAGCGATGTGGTCTCGTCGGGACCACCGATGTCCTCGGCCGTGCCCCGCCTTTCCGAAGCGGCCGCCAGGCAGGGGTCTTTTCCCACTAGATTATTACATCAACTCTACGATTACAGGACACGACGCCTTGTCCTGCAAGACCTACGCCACTCTCAAGCTGCACAAAACAGCGTTGCCGTCTCGCGTCGGGTTACCAAGATGTCGCCACCAACGATTACAAATCGACAACACGAAAAAAAAAAAAAAAAAAAGTGCGGGCTGTGAGCATCGTCGAACGTTTTCTCCTTAAATATGTCGGGACAACGTCTTTTTCTAAACTACGCCGAAACAGGGCATGAACAGTGATTTCGTCATCAGAAAAAAATCGAAGATGACGATTCGAAGGCCGCTCGCTGTGCGACCAAAGCACTGGTCAGAGCGAAGCGCTCGTGCCCAGACCGTGCTAGGCGAAGTTTTTTTTTTGTTTTTCTGTGTTAGTGAGAACCGGGCTGTGTGGACAACAAGCTCGATAAATTGCACCCTATAGTTTAATTTCCTGCCCAACAACAGAGCCTAAAGACGCTTTCGCACTGCTCATATCGTCGGACAAAAAAGGCAGCGTTGGCTGTGGACGTGGCGGGAAAATTACGGTACCCGCGGACACGTCTCGAGCAAGTTGGGCGCACGTTTCCTTAACACGTTACATGTGCTTCCAACATGTCTGAAAACAATATTTGTACGATCAGTATTGACGGGACCGTGGTACAAGAACGAAACACCCCTCAGTGTATGCAAACGGTTTTTTTGTTCGATGTGTTAGAAGCGGGACCGCGGACTTGGCAACATAATATATACTGAAAGAATAAGACAAAAGGTGAGACCTTTTTCTTATTCCTTCGGTGTTCCTCAACTGAACCAACACGCTCGTCGGTGTTTATAATATACTCCGTTTGATCCAACGACGGGCTTCAGCGGGAGATATATACGGTCCATCCGAGAAGAATTCGATGTCTCGGGAATTTGTCACGTGTGATCTTCGGGAGGGGGCGCGGCGACGCGTGGAGGGGTGCGGTCACGTGGGTCGCAGCGCTGGGATTGACTCCGACCGGCTTTCGTATAGCGTCCATCGTAAAGCCACGCGCTCACACACTGTTTTATACATCGTAAAAAAGACACTCTAAGTAGGGATTCGAACGCCAGTCAACGCGAGATACGTGCTTCGAGCGCCGCATGAGAAAAAAACTGGGTACGGGGCATTCGAACCACGGACTCTTAAGGTGAACTGCGAGAGTAGCGAGAAACTGACTGCATTCGTTCCCGTTCAGTGCCTGGCCTTCGGCGCAGATGACGTGCGTGTCCCCGACGGCGAAGTCGATGAGGTCCATCTTGACGAGTGCGTTCTCCTCGGCCATCACTTCGTCCAGGACGGAATCCTCGATCTCTCCGATGCTCTCGAGCACTTCGTCGGCAGCGCTCGACAACTCTTCGGTGTCGTTGGTGACCGTGATGTTGTTCGCCTGAAAGAGGCGAACAACCGGAGAATTGAATGAACCGTTTGTATCGCAGTAGTAATTTAGTTGGTTTTCGGATACCTTGAACCTATGAATATAGAAAAAAAAATATTTATATTAATTATAATTAAGATGATCCCGTCGATGGAAAACGAAATACTACCGACAAGTTGTACCAAAGCAGTGCTTCGTTTTGATGTCTAAACTTTAAGAACTGAGATGTTCATCACCTGTACTACTTAGCTTTTGAATATTAAAGCGAAAGAAAAACAAAAAAAAAACGAGTAGTTAAACTTTGAACTAGAACCTGATTTCTGTCTCACTGTGTTCTACTGTCTTTGTCAAATATTAACTCATTATATAAAATTACCACGTGAGTATTTTTATTTTTCGAACGGGCCACTATATTCCCTTTTCGAATTTCACCGTTCAGAGGAATATGAACCATGCTTGTTGAGTATTTCGTTCTCCTTATATAGTATTGTGCTCACTTTGTATACTAAATAAAGATGGACGCAGTATACTAGCATAATCACTCAAATCTTCGAGAGTGGCAGCCCTTCTCAATAGCAGCAAACCCCGACGATAACGTTTCCCTTTTAGGAGATACGCTACATATTAAGGCTGGTTCAAAGATTTGCGTTTGAACGTGACCGACCTGGTTGCAACCGCATGTAAACATTTACGCCGAGGGAGCAGACTGTCGCCATCTACCGGGGAGTCTTGGAACGTTTCCGGTCAGCGTATATTTCAGGCATCATTTTGACGTTGTAACCTGTGGTTGTAGCAGGCTCCCGACGCCATCTTTCGATATGTGCGCCACTCAAGTCGGTCGTTCGCATCGCCGCCCGCCGTTGACCCTGCCAAGTTTTTTGACCGTACATTTTACAGAAAGGGAGCTACGCTTTGTATTGGTAGAACCCACCGGTGAAATACACTTGCGGAGAAAAGTTTCGATTGCTACACTGTGACAGGCAGCTGTTTCTCGTAGATAATGCGCAGATTTTATCTCGCAAACACTGCCACGCTTTCGCCCCTGGTTAAACGCAGATCGGAAAAGATCCTGCGGCTATCCGACAGGCGACGCCGGTGTGTCAGTGTGGTGTGTTGTCGAAAGCGGTCATAAGCGGTGGCATCGCAGTCGATAACGTTATGTGTGAACTAGCCTTTGAATTGCGAAGAACGCACATTACTCACGCCAAGCACGAGGGAAAACTCGGCGTCCAGCTCAGCCACGGAATTGGGCTCATCAGCCACGGGGGTGTCCAGGGACCTCCGGTGCCTCACGGTCACAGTTCCACTTGGCGGCTGGTTTGCGTCCCCCGTTCTCCCGCACTTGACTCTGACGTTGTCCAGTTTGCAGAGCGCTCCGGATCCGCAGAGCACAGTCTTCTGTACCCGACTGTAGTAATTGTTCCGGAAGGCTCTCTTAATAGCTTCTTGAACATGAGCCTCTCTACAGTCGCCGGTGTAGTAATGGGCCCTGAGTAGTCTCCTGTGCTCCAAAGGTTCCGTTGTCGCTGCCAATGAAAAGATATATATATATATATATATATATATATATATATATATATATTTAAATGACTCACCCTGAAATTCCCAAATGCTTTAAATGACACACATCAATCAGTTTAAGAACAAATATCAAAGCAAGGCCCAGAAAAAAACCGACCGTTTTTGGATCCAGACAGCCACACACACATCGTTCTCCAGAGACACGCTAGTGATCCGGGCTAATCGGCAACGAAGGGTCATGGGACGCACCGGCGCAGTCGGGCCAGGGAACCGGCAGACCAGGGGGCACGGTCTGCCAGGTGCGGTCCTTGTCGCAGATGTACTCCTCGGCGGGTTCGCCCAGGAAGTCGAAGCGCTCGTTGCAGAAGGGCTGGCAGAACTCGCCGTGGAGCCAGGAGTCGCACGAGAGCGCTCCGTTCTCGGGCGGCGGATGGTAGGGGCACTCGCTCTCTGCAAAGCGAGGTTGCAGTCACCGCCTCGCGTCGAACCATCGGGGAAACAAAAAAGTGGGCAACAGTCCTGCATAGTCTGCTGCAGGTTTAGAACAGCAGGACATGGCTCTCGCACAAAGCTCCCTGTTAGGCACGATTGGTGGTTTCCTGCTTACCACTCAAATCAAGAAAAAAAAAAAAAAAGAAGAAAACACTAGTTTTGCGCATTCTTTTTACGTCACGGGAAGTAGTTCTTACAATATTTGGTTGTCTTCGGAAGACGCGATATTTTTGGCGTTTGAAACGCGTACGCCTTGGTAAGAAGACATATATCTAATATAAAATGTATCTACATGTATATGAATTATTCGTATAAAGGGAAAGATTAGTAAGGCTTCGCGAGGAACCGGACTTTTTTCTTTTTTCGCTAAATACTACTTAGAGTCACTCCCTGACGTTAATAACTGAATAAACTTGCCTTCGTTTTTCTTTCTAGGCAATATATGGCAGTCGCCAAACGAAAATTCGAGAAATATGAGCCTCCTTCCCTCAACTAGGAGCCAGAGCAAGTGGCCACGTGGCCTGGTGCCCATCCTATGTCAACAACGTTAATCGCCATGCGCTGCTGGGGTAGGTAAAGTAGAAAACGCGTGATGAGATTCAGGCATTGTTAGAGTTCGGCCAAAATCATCGCCGCAGTGATTGGACGCGAGCCACTGCCCTAGTGTCCGCCGAGGCATCGGTTGTTACGAGCCGAAGTTGAGTGCTCACGCAGTTCAAGTTTCCACTCCATGAGTCGCGCTCGACTGACGTCAGGCGGGTGGGTTCCATCCCATAATTACCTCATCAAGCTTTGCGAAGGCGAGACTGAAAGAAATGGTCCCCTTTCATCCTCGCAATTTCACCGGGACAAAAAAGTTTCTGAGTCAGTGGCGGTCTGTGCGAGTATATACTTGGGTCAGACTATAGAGTATGCCACCGCAAAGTCATGAACATTTCAACCCGATATCGTTTCATGACCCCTTTAAGGCGAAAACGAGTACAGGAAGTGTGGCCAGCGCTCACACTTCTATAGTGGAAACGGGGGACGGCTCTCTGGGAGGAGCTTGACCTGTGATTCTCAACCTGCAACAGACAATAGGGCAAACGAAGACCTTACACTGAACCCCCGTTGCCCGATCAAAGTTAAAATAGAGGGTGTCCATTAAAAAATACACAGGGTTTTGTTTTCATCGGAAAAACAAACTACGCATCCCCGAACGCCCATTCTCCGCCCAAATGTCCTGCTAGCTGCCCAAACCAAATGCCAAAGTTTCAAAGCTTACCGTTATCTTGACCAAAAGTTATAAACAATTCTATTAGACTTTGAATAGGACATTGGCGAACAACATAGCCCTCGAACACATAGAGCTCTATGGCTCCAGTTTCCAGAAAACGGGCGAAAATGGGCCCAATTTTCCCGTTAAAAATTTCTGGAAATAACTTATAATTTTTGAATAAGATAATGGTTAGTGCTCAAACTTTGGCATCTCATTCGAACCGCTAGCGCCACATTTGGGCAGAGAATGAGCCTTCGGCGACGCGTATTCACTTTTGCGGTGAAAATAAAACGTATATTTTGCAGGGGACACCCTGTAGATCTCACCGCATATGCTTCACTAGGAAGGAAGTCTAAACTAAAGTGTTTCACATCTCATCTTCGCACTGTTTACGATGTTATGTCAATGTCACTAGCATTGCGTTCCTGTTTCCTCGGGGGTGGGGATCGTAGTGGGGGTCATTCGTGGGTCGCTCTTCACCGACACCTCTTGGATAATAGAGAGTTTTAGTAGATCGCATATATGCTGCGGAGAGCGGGTCCAGCGGGCGCGGGCTCAATTTACGCTTCAAAGTGAAGGCACGAGCTCCCGCGAGCAAAGAGCTTTAGAAAACGATCTTCTAAAAGTCTCCAATGTGTCCGTTCATTCGAACTTACTACGACACCCACCGGAAGTCGGCGGGGGCCACAGATTGGTCGCGAATGCTGCGTCTCCGTTCGGCGAGGACTCGTGTCCAATCAGCGAGGGCGCAGGTCGAAGCCGAACGATGACGCAGCGCTCCCGTCCAATCCGCGGCCCGCTCTGGCCTCCGGTAGGCGACGTAGAGAACGGAGCCTTATAGGGCCGTGTTATTTCATCAGCATCACCATAATCATCCCCATCATCATCATCATCACCGTCACCAACACTATCATCGTCATCGACACCATCGTCGTCGACATCGCCATCATCATTATCATCATCATCATCTCTCTCTCTTGAGGATTCGCAAGGGGTATGGGAGTGGGCATGCATATACGAAAGTGGGCGTGCATAATGCATATCTAAGAAGTGCTCACTACAACTTCGCGGTATAACAGGAATCATAGACCGTTGTCAATTCGATTAGACAGACAAAGCAGGCGTATGAGAACGCTTTCAGTATAGAGGAAAACAGACGAATCCTAACTCGACACGACGACCTTGAAAACGCAGCGCTCAGTGTTGCGGCTTCCGTCTGTTCCCGTGTATGTGATTTTGGTGGAGCCCTGCGTAAACTCGGATCCAGGATGGTGAGACTGTAACAGAAACAAAACGGACGAGGCGTGATTGGAGTCGGTTGGGATTTAAGCGAATATACGGCACGCTAAAAAGAGGCATGGTTCCCTCATCGTGTGAATGAACCAATTACAGAAAATATTTGACGCCTCCGCTCTATGCTCGATTTTTTATGGCAGTTGTAGTCAAATGGGAGCCGCGGACACTTTGGGGTCACCCCTTAAGCCCTCAGCCATAAGTCAAGGCTAACAAAAATAAAACTATTTTGTATTGATGCTTTGATGCTGGCTGTCAAACAAACTAAATAGACCTAAGCTCGTGCATCGAGGAAGTATATGGGTGATTGCTCTCTGTTTCAAAGGCTTCAAAATTGGCTTGCACGCATTTAGTTTTCTTCATTCACCCTTTTTGACACTATGGCTAGAGGTTCAATACACACAAAAACAAAATCTCAAACAATCTACGAAGCAAAGTTGCTCTTACTTGCTTGACGTAAACATAGCCAGAATTGTCTTCAAATAGGGGTTCTCTCCAGGATACCTTCACTTTCAAGTCGGTCGTGTTTACGTGGATGTCTTGAGGACAGGATGTCATCAAGGGCTTCTCTTTGTCTGCGGTACAAAAAATTCAAACGGTAATAAGTAAAACATTTCCAGCTCTATACGGATTAAAACAGAAGGTGAGAAGATGGAAGCGTCTGGCAACGTCCGAACGCACAGCTCCGATTGGAAGGAAAGTGGGTGGACGCAAAGGCCAGCTGCCTCTGTCTCTTGCCTCCCTCCAATCAGGGTTATTGAGAGCATCGTCCGCTCCCCGCACAGGGCCTGGCGTTCGAACGCCGAACACCAGACCCTGCGTGGCCACATATTACGCACGAAATGTATAAAAAAAAAACGACCCCGTTACTTCAAGTCACGTGGTTGTTTTGTTGTTTCACCATTTGTGTGTCGCTGGTACGAAGGTCACGTGGTTGGTGCCACGACGGTTCAGGGAACCACGTGAGATGACATCACGTGTAAACTTACGTTTTGTTGCCGCACTTTCGTGTTTCGTCGGAAACCTATGCGGAGAGCAAGTCGTCTGCTTCGTGCGCAGGAGTTGTGGTGACGTCAGAAGGATGCCGAGCTCTGATTGGCTTTGATTGAAAGGATAGTGGGTAGACCTCAATGCTATATGCCTCGAGGTCTACCCACTATTTTTTTTCTCAGTCATCCACTAAAAGCTCAACGTCCTGACACCATCGCAACCCCTGTGCAAGAAGTAGGAGAACTTGAGCTCCGCGTAGTGCTGCGAGCCCAAGAGCGTATTCTACGGTAGTCCTAATGAGCATGAAACTCAAAGTCCGATGGCGTGTTAGCTTTCGTCTTGGTATTCTACGGTTTTCCCATGTTCACCCTACATACAAAATTTACGTATGTACAACGTAATGTACAGCGTTAATGCCGTTTTCGCACCGTGAGGCCCTGGTTCTTTTTTTTTTTTTTCTTCTTTTTTTTTTTTTTAAACGTCCGGACCATCCTAGACAAAAAAAAAAAGAAAAAAAAAGCTATAGCTTGGAAAGAAACACTGGACCCGCGCAAAATCAGTTTATGCCTGTGGATGACGATAATGCCGCGTTTTACCCCTTGCATATACTCTTATTTAAATGATTTCGTCGTCATACCAGTGAAAACTTCGAGCGACGAAATTTTATTCGAAGTTAGCTAATGAAACAGACAAATAAAATCAGAGCTGTCCTTGGTCTACAGTAGTTTTTCGAAATTCAGCTACACGCCAGCAGAAAAACGCAAGTGCTGAATTTCACTATACGTTTTGGAGGCTCGTCGAGCCATAAACAATAGAAAGTTCTAGTATTGCGTATATACGAGCAAGCCAGGCACGTAGCCAGGATTTTGTGCCATATCGGGGGGGGGGGGGGGGGGGTGCGCCCATGACAAAATGCTGTATGAGGGGGGGGGGCGCCCATGACAAAATGCTGTATGAGGGGAAGGGGGGAGAGGAGGTCCCAGCAAAATGAAAGATTTCGGGGGGGGGGGGGGGTCCGCCCCCCCCCCCCCCTGGCTACGTGCCTGGAGCAAGCACATGCGCCGTGCATAAGCGTTTCCGGCTCCACACTGCATGCGTGCGTCGTCGCCATGCGCCAATCGAGGACGCAGTTTGGGCTCCGCGTATGCGCAATGGCGACAACGCTACTAGTTCTTTGCGTACGCTTTTCTAAAAATCGATAATAACTCCGTTTTCTTTTTTTTCAAGAACGTCTTCACCAATTGGCAAAGTTTTTGACGAAGTAAAGCGGACAAGTTTCGGCATATATCAGCCAAGTATCGAATGATTAACGTTGCAAGATTCGAATGCAGATATCGCTAAAGTCAAAACGTCGCCACAGCCGTTTATACTGAGAGAGTTTGGCCTTCTCAAGGATATTTTGACAGCCTGGCAACCGCAGCAGCGTAATCGGACACCCGGGGCATGACTGCTTCCGTCCGACATTTTGTGGCTCCGACTCATAGGAACTCTATGCGATTTCTCAGGAATAAACGAGACCAAGAAGTACCGCCATTTGTGTTATCGCGAAATCCGCGGGTTCTAGCGAGCAACAAGCTCCGCCCGCATTGGCCAAACTGACTCTCAGTACAAACGTCTCTGAACCTCACACATTGCATCATGTCTCATTTTGCCCCGCCTTACCGTACAACGTAATGTAGAACGTTTACGTAACGATAGCCTAGTGTACAACGTTTACGCATGTATAACGTAGGTAAGCATGTATCTATGTACAGCGCAATAACGTAACGCAGAACGGTAACGGATGCACAACGTAATGTACAACATTTACTAATAGGAAGTTTTCCTATACCGCGTTTCACCCTCCTCTAAGCCCGCCTCAACGAAGAAGCCGCTACTGCGCCTGCGCGCCGATGGCCTTGACTGTAGATTTGCGGGTATCGTAGCGCGTTGCGGAGAGCGTTGCGGGACGACGAAAACGATCTCCGAAAACTCCTTAATGTAGGACATAATGCGTTCACGTATGTCGAACGTAATGCACAGCGTTTACGCATGTTCTACTTAATCTATTGCGCTTACGTGTGCAGAACGTAATTTACAACTCTTACCTAAGTATGGCTTAAGCTATACAGCGTTCATGTATGTACAGCCTTTACGTACGTTCAACGTAATATATTGCGTTTGCGTATGTAGAACGTAATGTGGAATATTTACGTATGTTTCACGTAATCTATTGTTTTTACGCATGTAGAACGTGATGTACAACGTTTACGTCGGTATTTCGCAGCGTGCAACGTTTACGCATGTATAACCTAATGCATAACGTTTACGCTTCTACGAAGTGACGTATGTACTTACCGAGCACCGTTACGGTGAACGTGCACACTGCCGACAAGCGAGCAGCGTCGGTGGCCTTGAAACGAATCTCCGTTTTCCCGATCGGGAACAGCCAAGGAGACGTTATGTTCTCGGGCATTTTCTGGATGAATGGAACCTCCCCGCTGTTGTCCTTGACCTCTGGCTGACTCCAAGCGATCCTGGCATAGCTCCGTCGGGCTTCGGCGGGCCGGACTTCGTCTTGAGGGCACTGGATCTGAGGCTTTTCCTTGTCTGGAAGGCGTGGAAAGCGTCGAAACAGAGCGGGCTCATTCGATTTACGTGCCACCAGTCTGCACTGCTGCAAAAAAAGTGTAGCGGGGCACAGAAAAGAGCACTGGAGTGTGTATTTCCGGTAGTGTTTATATGCGCCACGCAAGTTCGTCTGCTTCTTGCACAGCGTTTGCGATGATGTCAGAATGCTGAGCTCTTATTAACTGATTGAAAACCCCCCCAAAAAAAAAATAGTGGATCGACCTCAAGGCATCTAGCATTGAGTTCTACCCACTATCCTTTCAATCAAAGCCAACAAGAGCTCGCAGTCATTCTGACGTCACCGCAACCTTCGCGAAACAAGCAGACGACTTGCTGTCAGAATAGATAGGCTGCACTCGTAAGTCAAACACGACGCGGCGTGCAGCCGGTGCAGGTGGTGCATGTGAATCGAAGGAGCTTAGTGATCGAACGCGGAGACGCGAATAAGTTCTCGTGCTCAAGGTAACGTACACTCTACACTTCATTTCAGATAAGGCTCGACCGCAGCCAACGCTATTGGTCCGAAGAAAAAAAAAATCAAGCCCATATACGGAGCAGAAAAAATCTGCTCCGTATATGGTAAACCACATACGGAGCAGAAGTTCGTCTGCTTGCATGGGGGTTGCAATATGATGTCCGAACGCCGAGCTCTTATTGGCGGATTGAAGAAATAGTGGGTAGACCTCAAGGCATCTAGCATTGAGGTCTACCCCCAATCCTTACAATCAAAGCCAGCCAAAGCTCGGCGTCGTTTTGACGTTGCCACAACTCCTGCGCAAGAAACAGACGGCTTGCTCTCCTTATATCCTCCTGAGATTCGGTTCGAGGCTACCCTGGTAGGAAACATGCAGAGAGGGCGCCATTATAGGAAGGGAAGGGTTCGTAACGGTTACGGGCAACGTTAGTAATTCCAAAAGTTATTGGACTACTCTCGCGATTACTCGCTAATAAAACATAATCAAACGATTACGCGACCGCTCCAAAAAGTAATAGATCACAAGTAATTTGATTACTTGTAATGAGTACCGTACAAGTCTGGCATACAGTCACCGACAACAGCATAAGAAAGGCGGGACGTTGAGGGATCCAGGCACCTCATCAGCCAATCAGATTGCGATATTCGCCGATAGGAATCGCGAAAAACCAATCAGGAAGCAAGGGGGCGGGGACATATTGAGCCACGTCCCGCGTGTCTTTTAAAGCCGTCAGTTGGTACAGTGTGGTAGCTAAAGGGGCCATTAAAAAAGCCTTCTCACATTTGCTCAACACTGCTTAGAACGAATTCCCCGCGTTCACCTTATATACACAATGTATCGGAAACAAATGGAAAAAAAAAATTAAAGTGGGCTTGAGGTGAAGAAGTAATCGGAAAGTACTTTGTTTAACAGGACGGTGTCCGATGGGCTTGCGATGACTCGCTACCAACGTTACTACATGTTGCCTCAGTTGCGGAACTCCCGTGGCGCTCAGGTTACACCGTCTAATGAAATTTATTACTGTAAATTATTTCAGCTTATCCAGAAAGAGAAGCTATACCTAATCTCGAAGAATGTTAGCTCAGATCATGCATTGAGAACAAATATCTGGAAAAAACCCAAAGTAAGAACTAATTATGGCAAGCAACAATTGGATTATCAAGTTTTCGCATTGTTAAACAAAATTGAAGAAAAGGTAAACTTTTAGTGTTCCTTTCTGATTTTCAAGAGAAATCTTAAAGAGCTCCTGCTGGAGAGTGGTATCGTTTATGAATGTGGAATATATATGTGAAAATGGCCTTTTTTGATGTAACTTGTATTCTTTTTCCAATCGTGTCAAATCTGGTACAGTGTTTGTTATGAATTTGCTTGGTTCTGCATGTGCATTGGCAGATGTCCTGTTTTGCGCTGTACTGTAAAGGGAGGTAGAGGCCTCGTCAAGGTGCAATGGCAGCTTTTTTTCCTACCTCCCTTCCTCCCCTTGTTTGAAGAGAAATAAACAAACTGAACTGAACTATGATATTGTAGTGAGTGCGCAGGCGAGCTGGTGGAAATTAACCATTGTGATGTTAGCCTGAGACTGAGGCAGGAAAAGAGGAAGTTTCAAAGTAGAAGTAGCTGGAGACGTATCCTCGACTGTTCCTTTTTCTTCTACTTTGAAACTTCCTCTTTTCCTGCCTCAGTCTCAGGCTAACATCACAATGGTGAACTGAACTCACCGCGGTCCGCCTCCCGCAGAGCCGTGTATTGGGAGAGTTTGGCCAATAGGCGGAGCAAAGGCCGCCGCCAGCGCCAAATATTCCCCCCCGTGCTTAGAGCGTAAACTAAATTTGTGACACAGCGTCGATCAATCAGGAGACCGCGACGTCACAATATTGCAAACGACATTCGAAGTGTGAAATAGAGGCGTTCAGTCTCGGCCTCTCTGCTCCATCTCACAGATGTCGGCAGTGAAGACAAAGGTACAGGCGCGTGAAGCTAGCTCAGCAAAACGCTTTTGTTTGTACAAGAACTCGTCCATAAGAGCCACTTTCCAAAGCGACGCGCTCGTGCCCATGCCTTTCTCTGCACTGCTGATGTTGGCTTGTTAGAACAGCGTCCTGTGACTGGCGGAAAGAAAACAGTGCAAAGGGTGGGGCGCGCGAGCGTCTGGAGATGCGGAGTCCCGCTCGGCTCGTGCGCTGGCTTTGACAGTGCTTTGTTTCCCCGTCTCAGCTGAGACGCTGTTTCTAGCAAGTTGGCCCTGGTTTGGAGCGCACGTTCGTTTATTCTACACTTGAATATTGGCGTGACGAAAACCTCGCACGCACAAAGTTTTCAGTCACTGAGGGTCACACCTTTTAACTCTAGCGACGCTAAAACGGCTTGAATTAGTCGTGTCACAAATTTAGAGTTAACGACCACCGCTAGGGTCTGTTTCGCGGCCTGTGATTGGCCCCGAGATGCTCGCCTATTCAAACCAATGTATGGCCAAACTCTCTCGATAAACGGCTCTGGCCTCCCGTCGTTTGAAGCGCCATCTAGATTGTCGGTGCAAAACTATGCGTTTCATAGAGTAAAGTGAAGCGCAATCTAGATGCTTTGCATCAAAACAAATGCGTTCCATAAAACGCACTGTAGTTATCGAGGCAGCCATCCTGGAACCAGTGGTGCGTCGAACGATGGGAGGCGAGCCGTGAGGGGAGAGGGGGGGGGGGGGGGGGTTACTGATCGTCCAAGCAGCGTCTATGGGCGGTTTCGCAACTGAGCTAATCTTGTAACGTTTCTCGATACCCGCGCCCGCTGCAGAGACTGACGTCGCTTCCGGTGGGGGATGCTTTGAATCGTAGCTTCGGTGTCTGTCGCCGCTCAACTAAAAAATTCCTAAAAAATAACGCGGATCACGATTAGTTTGTCTGCCTTTTTCTAGCTATGGCATATTTTGACGAATTCCAAATTAAAGTACGCCAGCTACAGCAAATATTTCAAAAGTTGCTTAGTGAAGTCAAGGTAATTATTTCGGTAATTATCCTTTCACAATCGTAGCCTGACGTTCTCCGCGGTCGAAAACGTTATCTCGAGGTAATCACCTCGTTATTTGAAATATAATTTTCTAAAAAAAGAAATATGTTTTTGTTAGCACATAATATATTTTATCAGCCGAATTCCGTGAGGAAATCGTCATAAAGAACCGTCATGAAGAACCGTCACGAAGAATTGTGACATCACGTAACATAATGACGTTAGCGGAAATCCTGACGTCTTGTGACGCCGTGACGCCACGTGACACCCGGTCAAGCGTGAAGTCAAAGTACAGTTACGTCATAATGTCATGTGACGTAACGGCGTTACGTGACATCAGGGTGTAACGTGCACAACACTGTCACGTGACGTCAAGTGCCACCATGATGTCATGTGACGGCGTCACAAAACATGATACTGCGACGTCACGTGATAACATGGCGTTGCGTGAAGCCATAAGGTTATGCGACGTCGCATGCCGCGTCATCGTATATGACATTGTGACTTCGTGTAACGTCACATTTTTGTAGACTCATGACGTCACGTGACGTCACAGACACATATCGTGTGTACACTTCATTCATGACACATCTTTGTCAGCCTCCTTCGTCAGCATGCTCAAGCTTGTGTCCTTTTTCCTATTTATTCAACGATACTCCGGCTCTTCGCGGCAAGTCATAACAGGACTGGACTGGTACAGCCTGTATATAACACAGTGTCTTCGGTGAAGCATCCCTTATTTCCGACATTCGTTAGTGTACATTCTATGAGCTTGGCGTATCCCGACCGAGGTGCCTGCAATATGACGGAGGCCTATTGCGGAGAAGGCGCCGTGTAACCGAGCTTTCGGTTGCACGTCAAAAGATCCCCAGGTGGTCGAAATTAATCCTCTGTCCTCCGCTGGGGCGTGCCAGATGCCCGTCGTAGGTTTGGCACGTAAAACCCCCAAATTTGACTTTTTTTTGAGCTTGGCGTCAAAGGCTCGAGACGATGGGGGATACAATCTTTGCACTCACCCACGCAGCTGAAGAGGGCCGATTGATTATCAGGACCCACCCACTGTCCGTTCGCCTCACACATTATGATGACAGGGCCTTGTAGTTCGAAGCCGCTTAGGCACTGCGGCATGATCCAGTCCTTGTAGAGGTAAGGACGGCTTCGTCGAAAATCACCGAGTCTGGCAGCGTAAGCTGGGGATGGCGGGGGCGGACACTCCACAGCTTTGAAGCAAAAGAAAAAAAAAAAAACGGCAACATAAGTGTAAGAAACGGAGATCTTGTTTATGTTGTTATTTGGACTGCTGAGGAGCAGAAGGGGTATGCACTAGAGGCCATGTTTGAGGGCGCTGTTTAGAGCGCATGCTCAGAACGAGCTCACATCAATAGGCTGCTAAGACCGCGGAAATCTTGATGGTGCAGAATGCACGTTGCAAAAGAACTCTGGAAGCTCACCATCAGCGCGCGCACAGCATTCGCGCTCACAGCTATGGCCGCCAGTGAATATACTTCCCATACACCAACACCCGACTCCGACGTCACGTTGCTACGGTGGCGCTGCTATTGCCAGGGTTCATGCGAAGAAGCTTCACTTCATGCGAATCTGGTTCCTGCGCCCGCGCAGAGCCCACACCCTCGCGTGGGAACTCCGCGTTTCCCCACACCTCGCGAGGGCATGTTTGTACACAGCGCGTTGGTCTATACACCGTAGACGATTGCAAGCGGGACATCTGGCCGCCGCCATGTCCCTGCTCGTGTGGGCAAGTACGTACATCTGCACGCACTTGCCCGCGCGACAAGTTCGAGGGCGCGTACAAAAAGCACGGTCGAAGATAGGAGTCATTGCGTTCTTAACCTAACACCGACAAAGTCGACAGTCTGACATTGCTCTTATCTCCGTCGATGAAAGCCGAAAGAATCCGAACGTGCTAGCGAGCTGAGCAGCGCACGATTTGGCACCCTGGCCGTTCCGTCTCTGCTAAGGCTCGTTGCCTAGAAAGCCTCACACGTTTTCTAAGAATTTCTCTGCCTCTACCCCCGTGTTCGGGGCTCGCTGGCTCAATGATTACCGCCATCTTCCCCGGCCTGAGAGCGGGACATTCCCGCTTCTAGAAAGACAGTGGACAACCACGGACTTTCGCAAGCCGCCCGTCCTGGCAAGATCCGGAACCCCCAAGACGGAAGAGCATGGCGAATTGAGCGCACCCTTACGTGCTCGAAAGCAACCACGAGTAGACACGTGCTAAGAAAATAGGACTCGTTTACACTTTACCGGACGAACAACTGCAAGCTTACTCCGCATATAAGCGAGAACTCCCGAACCTTACGGAATACGTAAAGAACAAGGCAACCATTCATGCATTTCAACAGAACATAACCGCCATTGTCGAGTATGTGCAGAACCGGGCCGTTACTGCCGAGTATGAGTATTAGGGCGACAATTACTGAGTACATGAAGAACAGGAGCGCTTTCCAAGGATACAAGGGCCAAAACTAGACGAGAAACACGTCGGATAGTGGTAGCGAAGCTCTCCCAGACAGCTCTTGCGCCGAATCGAGTCAGCAGCAGATGGCATCCAAAAACGAGGAGAGGGAACAAGAAACGTGCGGCTATACTCTGGTATCAAATGTGCAGACACTGCGGATGTCAACGATGCTACGAGATAAGCGACCCTTCGTCAACATTAGAGCACGTGGTCGTCTTGAAACCCATCTGGGAAGACGCCTTCAACATCGCCACCAAAAACATCAGAGACGCCATCACTCGAACATGCGTCGACGACAAGGAATGTTTCCTCCGTGTCAACGAGAAATCGAATACGATTGCAGTCATCGTTAGGAATCAGTAGGCGGTCGATAATCTCCTCACGATTGGAACTATTGAGCCGAAAAGCAAGACCCTGTAAATGAATTCCTACGGCGCCACGTCGAGTGCCCAAACGAAGGGGGTCATCTACCTCAGGGGACACGATAACGACAAAACTCCGGAGTCAACGATGAAGGAGCTGAAGTGCAGAACCCACCAAACTTCGGCAGCCACGATTATGGGCCAAACTTGAAAAACCGTGTTTCAAGACACGTACGCTATGCCTGTGAGTCCTTCAAGTTGTTTTCGTACAGGGCCAGATTCCTCGTCGGCCGCTGGTAGGAACAGGCCTGCATACGCAGGCTTCAAAGAAAGACAGCAATTACCCCCGTCTGGCTGGCGAGGTTTCACCGCCCGTCCACACCCGAAGACCCCGGCCCTGATCTGCTCTGCACGCACTGTGGGATTCCCGCCACATGCATCCATCTCATCTGGATGTGCGAGGGGGTCAGAGAGCATTGTAACAACGCCGTAAACTCACTCCCTGAGGGGGCAAGGCCACCCAAGCACGAGTACCGGACCCGCTCCATGCTCGAGAACTCGCATCGCAAAGAAATTCCCGATTCCCTGATTATAGTTTCGTCCGCTCATCAGGGATCGCCTTTTACATTTGGCCTCATCACCCCCCCCTCTCCCCCTTCTTATAATCCCCCTCCCCCTTTACGACTAGCTGACTTTATCAAGAGATCGCGATATATCCCTTTAATAAATACGTTTTCCCTCACTCACTCACTCACTCAGAATTTATCCCAAGGATTACGACAGTATTCGAAAAAGCGCGAACTGGTTGCGAAGCTTCCACTGAATTCGTATCTTCGCCTCTTGCGGTTTTGGCCACGTCACGGCTTTAGTCCCTGTACATGTTGGTTTCTCCTCGACCTTGAGAAGAGACATGCATCAAGGCCGAGACCCCTGGGATCCCCCACTGAGCGGGTCACCAAGATGTGAAGGGAGAACGCCAAGCGCCACGGCGACAAGAAAATGGAACACGTCATCAGCACAACAGCGAGCAACATGGCCACCCCGACCAGCACGAACGCGGAGCACTTTCAAGCCTGTGCTTTCAATCGAGTACAGGTCAGACACTTTCTTCCCCATTCCGACTTCCAGAACCGTTGAATGGTTCAACGAGATAATATCCACTGCAGATCCTCCTCGCCGAACCCGAACTTAATTACGTCCGCCTATGCACGGCGCAACTTGAGAGAATTGAACGTTTTCTCGCGACAGTGGAAAGTAGACCCGCGACCACGTTGGTCGCAGAGGAAGCAGCAGTGCAAGACACTGACTTCCCGACGCTTAAAGGGCACCCGAAAAGAAATTTAGTTTAAACAGTCTGGTAGGGACACACCTATCGAGAAATTAATTTTACGCTAAAAACAATTTTTAGAGGTATATTGACGGCGCGAGACTTATTTTAAATTTTGCGCGAAAAGTTCATGACGTCACGGAAGGGTCATACGCTTTTTCCACCTCAACGAGATGGCCAGGCCGATTCACCCCTTTTCCACGCGCCCGAAATGCAGAGAGAGAAGACAAGTGAAAAGGAGATGACCACCGACTAAATCGCGCCTCGCGCCGTCAATATTGCTCACAAAAATTTTTTTTTTTGCGCGCACAATTAATTTTTCGATTTCCGTGTCCCAACCAGATTGTTTTAAAAAAAAAGCTTATTTCTTTTCTTTTCAGGGGCCCTTAATTGAGAGCATGAACATAAAAACCTGCGAAAGGAACACAAGGCATAATGAACAACATCACCCTGCCATTTTGTAAAGAAGCGAGGTGAGCTGGCGAGACGCGCACCCCCAAAAAACGCAAATGCCACACGATATCAACTGACGAAGAATCACTGGAACGGAGGAAAGAGAAACCGCCACCAACGCAAACCATTGTCCTGCGCCCGGTTTGCAAGAAAATCGTATATGAACTCTGGACTGAAAAAATCTGTGTCGGTATCGAAAAGACTCGTGTTAAAAGCACCGAAGGATACACGGTTAGTCGGAACGAGAAGGCGAATACAATAGCCATAAGCACAAAGATCATAGAACTTGCGGAGCGATTTCTGCAGATCCGGAAGATCCGACAGCCGAAAAGGGACCAATAGAAGTGCAGCCATACATGGCGATGGGACCTAACAAGATCAAGAGGTCACACATCTACACTTGCCACACGACAACCCAGAGACGTTCGTCAAAGAGTTCAGGTGTAATATTCACCAGGTTATGGCGGCCAGAGCCCTCGGCGGGAAAGGAAGAAGGCCATCCTGATTATTTTTGCAGAAAAGACATTACAGAGACACGTACGCTACGTATTCGAAGTGTACCGCGTTCCCGAATACATACACAGGCCACTAGTAAGTTTCGGGTCTCACCAAATCGGCCACAAGGCCGACGTGTGCCTAGGAAACATGCGACGCTGCGGCACATGCAGACAAGAGCACGACACCATGGAAAAGTGCACCTCGACGCCAAACATGCACCAACTGCGAGGGCAATCACATGGTAACCAGCAACGAATGCCCGAGAAGGAAGATATATACCCACGAAAGAAGGAGCAAAAGAACAAGGCGCGCAGAGGACAAGCAGAATGGCGCGACATGGAGCTCGTCTCCAGCGAACTCTTTAGGCTCCCCGGGAGCAATGTCAACAGGTCCATCATGAGCAAACATGGCCAGTTCCCAAAGAAGACCATCACACATGACAAGGTCACAGACGCCACTGACCTGGCCAGGGATTTCAGGAACCCAACTAGCAAATATGGCGCAGCACAGAGGCTGAGCATTATCGCGATACAAATGTATCGCCATAATATTTTGGAAATACGTTTAGTATTTATATTTCTGTATCGCGATACATTTTTTTAATCAATATTTGTATTTTAGTAACTGAATACATTTTCGGAGTATTCCTTATATCGCGATACAATCCCGTGTAAATGCTTCTTGTTACAATGTTCGAGAAATCAGTGATCCCCAAGCGAAAGCTCAAGATATTGCTTTCTTTCTTTTTCCGTGCTTCAGGGGGGTAGAAAGTACAGTAAATGGGACCTTGAGGCCTTGTTATCAAGCAGACCAAGGTCTGTTTCGAGTATTAGGCCGCCGAGGTTAACGTTCGCGAGAGAATATCCACAGATTAGGATACACAATCTACGCCGACGATATAACCACCTGGGCAAAGACTGGCAGCGCCTCGAAGCAGAGCGGAATTCTTCAGATAGCATTTACACCATTTTGGAATTTTCGACAAATAACGGACCGCAGCTCTCTCTTCAAAAAAAAAAAAAAAAAGAAAGAACTATTGTATTTATTTTTGACAAGAAAGAACGGGACGAGAAAGCTGGCAGCAAATGAGACTCCACGTCAAAGGGAAGAAGATTCAGCAACAACCCATTGTCAAGCTTTTAGAAATCCAAATCAACGAGGATAGGAAGGCAGGCAGCTGGTACAAACAAGCAAGAAGTCATCGGATGCAAAACCTTAACATCCTAAGAAAAAGTACCGGAAAACCTTGGGGAGTTCAGGAGGAGACCCCAAGGACAATGGTCAGGGAACTTCTTATCCCAAGGCAACTTACCAAATAAATTATCTTAAGCTAACCAAAGCGCAGGAGAATGGTCTAGAAGTGCTCAACCGTGAGGCCATGAGGGTCACCACTGGCCTCCCAAAGTACATGAGGCTGGAAAACCTTTATCAAATTGCCGGTCTCAACACAATTAAAGAGACTGCGCGAGAAAACAAAACGAACGAGATACTCAGACTGCAGAAGACAAGGTCAGAAGGCAAGATCCTCAGAGAGCTCGGGTACGGAAAAAACGAGCACCCTGTCATGGCGGATCCTGCTTCACCGTTGGGAAGCGAAGTTGTGGTGGATAAATTACCGACACCACAAAACCAAAGTGTCGACCAGCGAAACAGAAGCACTCTGCTGGCAAACATCTTGATAACGTATTCGAAGTTCTTTAGGATAGCGCCAACGCCATTGTTTATACGGACGCTGCCCAGGATGACGAACAGACGTCTATAGCGTAATACAACGCAAACAACCGCAAGATATTTGCCAACTCAGTCGGTAGAGACATCAGGGTCAAAGGTCAAACTGAAGGCCGTCGAAAAGTCCGTGAAGGACTTCGGCCCAGTAAAATCCAAACGGAACTTGTATGTTAATTCATACTCAAAAAAAAAAAAAAACAGTTTGGGAATTTAACACGTATGACAGCCGAAGTCGCACGCTCAGAAGAATTGAGACAGCGACTAAACAGTGTACACAACATAAAAATAAAGTGGATCCCGGGACACCAAGGCATCCACGGGAACGACGAGACGCGCGCAGCCACACGGGAACAGCTACACGCATGTCTTCCCTCCCGGCCCAGGCTCAACTCGCCCCGTCGTCACCAGGTAAACTCAGGAAAGTCTTAATCCTGCAGAAATGACAGCCCAAGAGCTCCAGGAAAGAAAGCAACGACTCGCTGAGCTGCGAAAAAACCAGTAGCCGTTTCCGTCGGATCATTACAAAAAATGGTAGCTGGTGTGTCGGAAAAGGCCCAGGACCGAAACTACTATGACACCGACCCGAAGGAGCCTCTTCAGCAAGAAAAAAAATGAGACAGAAAAAGATGGAGAGGACGGCCTGTGCGAGGACTGCCATGTCCTCGCGAACATTGTACACGTCTTTTGGGACTGCCCGAGGAACCAAGGCGAGCGCAAGACAGCCATCGCATCGCTTCCACCTCAAGCCAGACCGGACCATCTGAAGGACTGGATCCTTCCAGGGGGTCGACTCATCAAGTCGGCAGGGCATATTCAAGGCATTTAGCTCCCTTCCCCAATCCTTTCCCCTCCCGTAAGCGATGACAAAGGTCAAGGGTTGCGGACCCCCCCCCCCCCCCCCTCCCCCCCTTCTCCTGTCATTTTCGTTTTCTGATAAATAAAACATAGGCTCACTCACTCACTCAGATTTAATCCCAAAAGAAACATCATAGTGAGGGTCTGGCCGATCGGCGACGTGTCTCTGGCCGCGAGGGCAGGCCAATAGAAGCGCACTCGCAGACATCGTCGTACAGGAGCGCGCGCGTTCGCTTGTGGGATGTGCTATTAGGCCGAAAACGGCAACGCGTCGGCGGCATCCAATATCGATGTCCGTACAACCAGAGCCACGAAATAGTGCAACGTCACTTCGGACGTTGGATTAGATTGGACTCCTTGGGATTCGCCTTTGTGATGGGTGGATCACCGAACTTTGGGGTCTGGATCTAGCCAGTTCGCTTCTCTGCCACTTCCGCTTCCACTCTCTCTTCTATCTTCGGAGTTGGGTTCGTTCCACACGCTCCATCGTACCCTCCCCTCCATCTTGGCACTTGGAATCATCGCTTCCAATTACCTGAAGCTTTATCTATAATAGCAGGAAACGGTCTTTCCGTCCTTCAGAAACGTGAAAACAGTTCGCGACAAAGAAGAGCAGTATCGACCTAGCTTTTCTGACACCAAATCTAGCGCTCGGGAAACCGCATTTTCGGATCGCACACCGATCGCCAACTGCGCCCGCCCTGCACTAAGCTCAAGGTGGCGGGGCCCACATGGAAATCGAGGAAGGGTGTGTTGGAGCTACATTTATACACTAGCCACACGGGCGCCCTAAACCGTAGTTAGCTGCGACTGAGATCAGATATGTATCTGCAGCTAAGGGTGTCACTGTAGCAAGGGTTTAGTTGATACTAACTGCTCATCATGCTTAAGCCTAAGTGCGGTTTAGAATGTGCGTCAGGCACACCGCTGTCAAGACTGACCTCGGTCACACTTATTAGGGATGGCGGTATTTGAGAGTTTTGAAAAAGGATAGGTCCTCGAAGAGAGGCAAGAAGGATACCACGAAGGTTCCTTACGATTGCAAGCGGCGCCTGTATTTGTCCATGTCTTGTGAGGTGTGCAGACGGTGGTACTCTCCCCGACGAGTCGATGTCCCTGGATGCAGCTGTAGGTGCAGGTGGTCCCGACGGCACGATCTCCGTCGCAGCCTTCCGCGTACCCGTTCTCGGGGATGGGAGGCTCGTCACACTGCTTGGCTAAAAGAAAAAACGAAAAAAAAAAAAATCTTTTTAGAGCGTTTTCAAGCAGCAATGGCGGTAACCATTTTATTGGGCACAAATGGTGTTACTGTATCCTGGTTCTGGCGAAACGCTGACGCAGCCTTGCTTTCCAATACGGGCTCATAAAAGCTTGCGCAAACAAGGGCGCACCATTTTCTATATATGTGCTGCCACCTGGACACGCTAGTGGGTTCGAAACTGACTGGAAAACAACGCGCGCGCATGTTCGACACTCGAAATATATAGCTCCCCTGAACTTCGCTTTGGTCCAAATCCTGGGTTGTCTTCGGTCCCGAAGTTGGTACAAAGAATTCATCTTCCTTGTCTGCTCGGCCGGAAGGAAGAGATGGAGAGTGTACTATCGGGGAAAAATGAAATGCGAACAGAGGAGCGCGTGGCTCGCGGTACAGGCTGCGCCGCCTGGAAGTGAGCCTAGGGGCGAGGGTGCGTGACCTACCTCGACGTGTTCACGCCCCTCGATTGGCGCTCCCCCAGCTTCGGCAATGCGCCTCTCAGTGCGCTGAAAGCTGCCACCGCTATCTTTGCCTGCTCGGCGAGTGGGGCGAGCTTCTTTGCACCGCACGCGCTGAGCCAGCAAAGATAGCGGTGATAGCTTTCAGCGCACCAAGAGGCGCACTGCTGAAGCTTGGGAAGCGCAGAGGGAGGGGCGTGAACACATCGCAGTAGGCCACGCACCCTCGCTCCTAGGCTCACTTCCAGGCGGCGCAGCCTGTACCAAGAGCCACGCGCTCCTCTGTTCGCATTTCATTTTTCCCCGATAGTACCACATTCATGTACTCTAGAACCGATATTTGTGCGAAAGGTTCATCGGAGCAGCGGCTACTAAATGGCACTCCCTTTGTTCGCCCTATTAAAAGGGTTCGGTTCCATCCATCCATCCATGTCTTTTGCCCATCGAAATCAGCAGGCGTTCCTGGCAACCATCAAACGAAGCTTCTTATAGAAGTCGCGCAAAAGCAAACTAAGCGAAACTTTAGCTGGCCGCACTCTGAGGTTTCTCTGCCTCAGAGGGAAGAAGCTCTGGTTTCTTTTAAAGCAGTAGCACAGTGCTTGAAAGTGACATCATTTTATGGCACCACTGCGAGGATCTCGTCTGCTCATGTTGGTGTGGGGCGCGCCGCAACAAGGTAATTTGATAGAGGTTTGACGTCATAGCGCGGGCGACCAATGGCGTATGCCATGCGTAGCCGGGAAAAGGGGGAGGGGGTATAGCTTGAAGGCACGGCTCATACACCCCCCTCCCTCCCTCCCCCCCCCCCCCCCTCCCTACTACCCCGCTCCACGAGGTGGGAGGGTAGGGACTGCGTATTAGTCCTATCGTACCTTTACGGAATTTTACAAAAATGTCGAGCGATTTTTTCACCGGAAAACTCAGTTGCACAATGCACATTAAACCACAAAACACAACTCCGATTCAAGTCGTCTATCGACAAGTTTAAATTTTTTTCGGAGTTTACTATCGAGATGCGAAGTCGCCAGCGGGGGACGGTTCTGGGATCACTCACGAACACAGACGACTGTAGCCCCGGACCAGGTTCCATCCTCCTGGCAGGTCCTGACCCCGCTTTCTTGCTCCATGAGCTCGAATCCTTCGTCGCAGTCGAACTCGCACTCGCTCTTGTACGCCGTCGAGCACTCGTCGATGATGGATCCGTGTTCCGGCGGTTGCAGTGGCGGGCAGGTCACCGCTGTGTGCAGTGTCGATTGCAATTGATTTAATAAGTTCATGCGTCGCGTTCACGTCGCAAAACTGTCCCGCGAAGAGCGTGTATCGAAGAACAACGGCCAAGGGCAGTCAGTAAGTGACAGAGATGGCTGTCGTAGAATAAACTAGATTTAGCGTGTTGAAGGTACAATAACGATACAAGCTCCACCCACAAAGTAATCGCTCTTTCCACTTTAGCAAAGCGAACGTTTACGAGGAGGAAACCACCCATCGTGTCAAGCAGATAGAGCTTTGTGGGCAGTGCTTGTGCTGCTATTCTTAAGACTTCTTAAAACGAAAACTTTGTTGCCATTTCAAAGGTTCTGGTCGTCCGTGTACCCTTTTATGCCTTTATTCTTTCGTTTTTGAGTATTGATTATAACAACGTGCTCGAATTAACTAGTAACTAGAACTAGTACTTGCAACAGCTAGACTATACAAGTAGCTGTTGTTGCTTGACATACTCGAGATATGACGTTGCAGGGCCGTGCCTCGCTTGGGAAATCAGGGAAACGTAGCCCATGGAGGTTTCAGGACACTAACACCACGGGCTTGATTTCTTTTGAATGTAGTACAATGTGCTGGCAAACACGTTTCACCAGCCGCCAGCTCTGGCCACCTAATCATAGCAACCTCCATAGAAATGTAAGCTATTTATTTTGAAGAGGGGATGGCTAAGCCCGAAGACAAGCCAGAGAGATGTCTCATCCGTTTTTCTCATTTTCGTAGCTTTACGTTTTGTGCTTGCACTAATATAGGCACAACAACCAGGTAGTGCTCTTGAACATTGCACTCTTTCCCACTCTTTGAACGAGCAAGAAGTGCAACACACATTTGAGACAGAATTCGCAGGCATTGAAACCCTGTGACTCTAACATTGAATGGACTATAATTTCTTGTCGCTTTGCAGAGCGCGTCTAAGCGTCCAAGTTCCAATGTGAGCTAGGAGTATTTCCTCGTTGCATCTTTTTATTATAACTCAGCCAGTTGGGATTCGTTGCGCACCAAAGTAAATTATTTTCCGTACAGCGAGGTAAAGTAGAGTTAATCTAGAACGTCCAACAAAACCATTAAAAAAAAAATAGAAAACACCCGCAGTAATGTTTTATAAACTACTAGCTCCAATACATATATAAGCTACAAAGAAACAACAAAAAAAATCCTTTCGCTCGAATTTGCTACCTTTCACACGGCCGCAAAACGTCCGACGGGCTGAGCGATCCGCTTTCCCAAAGATCAAGCAGTGGAGATTGAAACGAAGCGATAGACAAGCTTCGTCTCCACCCTCGACGTCAAGAGGGCATCGGTGGCGGCGGCTGGAGATCTACGCAGACTCGATCACATCAAGCTGTCAGAAAGCTGCCTTCGAAGCGGGTTAAGACGTCATTTTCGAAGATTACCGCGGAGTCAGTCCCGGTAGATGACGTCTACTGGAGTAAAAACACGTGTCCACCACACCCAGTTTAAAGGAAAAATCCGGCGGTTTTCGTTTTTGTTTTTTTTCTTACCCAAGTTCTGCCCAATTTCGGAATTAACGTTTCTCTTCCCGGCGTGCTACGTATTGTTTCAACATTCTAAATATCGCTATTGAAAGAGAATGGCAATGGCAAGGTTATGCCAAATTTAACATTCTAAAATTTCCCGCGTTCTCCAGTGGAGCGCCGTCACGTACTGTATAAATTGCATGTCAAACAAATAATCTAAAAAAAAATGTTTTGAGCGTTTTTCTTATTTTTGTTTTGTTTTGATGGGGTACGTTTCACAACATTTATTTCACACCACCAAGCTTCTTCTAGCCATTCAAGAACAAGCTGTGCTGTCCCTACATTATAACATCCATCTAACGTCACGCTTACAGTGTTACCGGTACAGCCTCCGAGCCTCTCTGACCAAATATATATATATATAAAATATTAATAATTTCGCAAAAAGAAAAAAAAAAGATAGATTTGTATTTTGTGACTTCTAAGTGGAGGACTAGTTCAGATGCGCCATTGAAGGTGCTGAACCAAGTTCAAGGCAAAACAGTTAAAAACAAAATTGCCAGTGTCTTTAATAACTTAAAGAAATGAAAACTGCGGCTCACCTATGTTCACGCTTCCAGCTTCGCAATTCGTCCTTCGCCGTTCTTATCGGTCGACTTTGATTGGCTACGGCTCGATAACAAGACGCTCGGGACAAGCCGCGCTCCGCGTTCCTTGAGCTGTCGGTTAATATAAGACGTCTGAGGCGGACCTCTACTGGCAACACTGGCCAACGCTGATCATTTGTCTTTTTAGACTTGGGCTAGGTGGCGCAAGCTACCGCCCGCTACAAACGTACAAAGACGACGAGCGCCGTGGCGATGCACTTTTGGCGCTTTTTTTTTTGTTGGCTCCATCGGATTCGTATAGCGTAGGCTAAGGTCGCTCTTGAAGTGAAACAAACAGAGAGCAGAGACTCGCGTTGGCGTTTTTCACCGAGGTGTAGGACAAAGCGATACACACGGACGCAGGGCTTTCCCGCGGTGGGGTCTCCCACGTGGGCCTTCTTGCAGACGCAGTCCTTGATAGACCTGCTGCCTTCGTGCGCTGTCGTGCTGTTTTGAGGGCAGCTCTTACACCGGGTCTTGTCGTCGTGCTCTTCCTTGTACGTGCCCGGATTGCAGGCTGCAAACAAGACGTTGTCCAGGGGTGTTGTAGGCACTGCGGTGCCATGGGACGCGTCTCCGACTGGTATGTCTACAAGCGTCCTAAGACCCCCAAATTCCGACTCATGACGTCGTAAAAGTGTCACGCGGTCGCCGGCCGCGACCCTGGCGGTGTGACAGCAGTGGTGGTGCATGTCGCGGACGCCTGCTCTGTCGCGGGTCACTCTCTGGTGTGACAGTCCACGGAAGCTCTAGCAGCCAGAAGTTGGGACGCCATGACGACAGGGACACTCGCGCTCGAGCCTTTTTGCCAGTATTTCTACGACCAACCGCCAGGATCGCGACATCCGACAGCACGACAGTCCGGCTTGTGTGACGCCATTCGTTGCCACTTCGAGACCACATTTGGTGTGTGGTCTTGAATAGGACGCTAAACAGACCAGTCGGAGATGCGCTCCAGACTCCATAATAGAAACCGATTGCAATCTACACTCTAAAAATCCCGTATGTTCCCGCAAATAAATTGGTAGATCTGGTCACTGCAAAATATAGAGTGAGTCGTTGGTCACTAGGAGTGATGTATAGGCGAACGACGAGGCTGTAGTGAAATGCAGTTCCAAGGTCCCCCCGAAAGGTGGCGCCAGCGTGCTCTCTCGTCGTAAGATATCACAAGCAGTCACTCGGTCGTAAGCAAACGCAAGTGTGAGCGGGCCTTTAGAGTGTACCCAGTTTAAGAGCCGCAACTCTGAGACTGATTAATATCGCGAATGTAAAACTGAGCATCAAAGAGGTTACAAGAAAATATGACAGTCACACTCGCTCTATGAATGTCTAAACAGCGGAAATTAAAGGCTGGTTCAGACATCTGCAACGAGTGCGTTGGATACGACTGCGTCCGTTGTGACCGGAGCGACCAGATTGACTGCTCTGCGCCGCGCGTACACACTCCTGCAAACACTGCAACAAGTGCAGCGGGTCGTCAGCACGGCGGCCGCTTCTCCGCCACCGTTCGCTGTTTCCGCGGTGCCTCTAAAATGATGGGGACATGCTGACATTCACTGGCGTATCACTAAATAGAAAGACAGTTTTCTATAGCCTGAAGTTTTTTTTTTTTTTTTTTTTTTTTTTGAGGATATGCTTGAAAGTAGAGTGGATAAAAAAAAAGAAAAAAGAAATGCAGTACACCGTCTTGGAGGGTAACGACTTTAACACATGACTTTACCAATATATAATACAAATCTCGCCCCACGCCTTTTTTTTTGTTTTTACTATTTCAAAAGACGATGTAATCTTAGCAGCGACATAGCAATGTAGAAATATGATTTCGTAATCACATAGACGTTGTGAGAGTTCAGGAATGCTAAGACTAATCACTTTTCTCGGGTGATGAAAACACGTCAAAGTTCGCATCCTTCGTACACGCCTTTAAATACGGTACGCACCAGTAATACCTTGCACTTGACCACACGCGTAGACTGCGCAAAATAAGAAATCCAGGCGATGTTCAAGAACACAAATGCGAAAAAGCACCACTGTAGTCGAAGTAAGCAAACACGAGGGCACGAGCGTTTCTGCTATCTTGAGGGTGCCGCCACAACATGCCCGCACCAGTACATGAATCTTCCCGCCTAGAACGTGCTGGGCTATCATCGCCACATACGACTAGAATTCAGACAAGAATAGCGCCCTACGCGGAGCGATGAGCTTCCACCACGCCGACCACGTCGACCGTTACCACCGACGCCACGTTTTTCAGCAGACAGCAGGAACCGCGACCGGCATGCAACACGCGCGGCCCGAGCTCTCCTCGACCTGCGTTTGTTCTGTCGGTGCGGTCGCTCCCTTCGTTCCCGAACGTAGCGAAATTCAGCCCGGCTCCACTCCTTGCGTTGTGAACGGACACGAACGAAACGACCGTTTGGCGCTTCGTTCCTATGGCAATTCGTCGTTCCAACCGGTTGCATTCGTTCGTTAGCTTAGTGGGCGCTTTGAGCGCAAGCCTGTGAACTGGCCTTGAATCTGCCTTGACGTTCCATGACTTGTGTTTCCACGAGGGGGGGGGGGGGGGGTGATTTATTTATGCAGTGACAAATGACTGATAATTGGAGATATTCTTGACCCGCTCCAACTTAAGTTAACCAAATATCTATATATCCACACCAAGTTTAACCGAACCCGACGTAGATGAGGCGAACGTACTTACCTTTGCACTGCCCTTCGAGCCCCGTACCCTCGAATCCGGGACCGCACAGGCAGTTGCTGGTCCCGGTGGCCATGGAGCACCCACAGATGGCGTTCTTGTCGCAGCAGCCTGGATCGTCCGGCTGGCCTCGGTACGGGCTGCGACACAGGTAGTCGCAGTTTCGTGGGTTGTCGTCGAGGTTCCAGCGATTTCCCGTGCCTCCTACAAACATGCATGCGATATTTATTTATTTTTAGCTGATTTGGTGAATCTTAATTACGAATCAAGAACCGGAAAATCGCCCCCCCCCCCTTTTTTTTTTTCCCTGTGGAGGACAGGTCAGATTACCTGATGGAATGTGCTGTTCCTATCCGTTTGTATCTCCATCTACTTACGCGTACATTAGTTACCGAACATCCAACACAAACCTTATGTCATTGTAGCGATAAAAAAGTCCTGCAACCAGAGGAAAATTTTCACAAGGAAAAATGTAAAAGTTTACGGCAAGATGAAAAAAAGAAGAGAGAGAAAAATATACGGGGATAAAAAGTAAGAAAAACAAATAATAGCGATGAAAAGATAGAGATCATATCTTTTTGACTTGAACTATTAAAACTATCAGAAGCGTGAAGCGTCAGTTAATTGCTGGAGCTTGTTGGCTACGACAGCGTACCATTCGAGAAGAGTTAGAGTCAACACGTAAAGAAAGTTAAAATCACAATTAAAGACCATTAAAAACACCACTAAAGCCCGGAGAAAGCTACTCGGTCGATCCAAGGCGCGTACTTCGGGCGAGAAGCATCTACACGAGTGTCTAGAATTTCAAATTCCAGCAAAGCTTCTTATCTAACAGCCAAATACATACACCAACATAAATGTCCACGAGACGTAATTAACGTAACATTTGGTTACGTCCCTTCCCAAGGACGTGGACATTCAAAGGTCATTAAGAACCTCGTCGTCGCGCTTCCCCGGGACTAAACAGAACGGCTTGACAAAACAAACGCCAAGGGGGCGTCGGGCCGCGTCCTGCCCAGTACATTCCTTCCACTGTAAGGCTCGGTCCACGCACGCACACACGCACAAATGCACGTGCAGACGCGGGCACGCACGATTGCACAGCGCCGCAGAGGCACGTACACACAAAGGTCCGGCTGTGAATCGTTCGCATGCCTCGTCCCAGACGAGATCCGAAAGCAAAGCTGAAAAAGGAGCGTCTGCGGAGGGAAACGGGATACCCTTGAGACGTTCATGACTTTCGAAGGCAATAAACGTTTCACAGAATGCAAAGCATTCAGCGGGGAGAAACCCGATAGGTTCATTGCTGGGGAGGAGAGACTGGGCTGGAGGAATTTCGGAAGCAAGGGCATCGTTTGGACCGGAGACCACAGAGATCGAGCATCTGTTACTCGTTCCGTGGGCCTCTTCCCTTTCCACATTGTCATTCTCCTCGCCACCACCTCGACTTTTGTTTCGTTTTTTTTTTTCTAATGTGGAGGAGCAGGGCGTGGGGTGTGTTGGGGAATATTACAACTTTGGTGCAGGTTTTATTCTTCAATTTTTTAACAACTTATTGCCTTATGTTTACTAGCAATATGACCTTCGGTAAAGTCACAGGCCGAGCATGGATACTGTAACCACAGAAATGAATTTAAGAATTTCCAATGCTAACGATATGCTAAAAATAGAAGTGCTAAAATATCAGTTTAGAGCGTGCGGGGTGCAGTGAAGGAATTCGGTGGTGGGGGAGGAATAAACGCGTCCTCTAAATTAAAACTCTTGGCCTTTGCTCAGGCATTTTGATTCGCGGAAAAAAATACAAAGAAGAAAGAAAGAAAGAAAGAAAGTAAGAAAGACTGACTTAACTTTACGATACGTAGTATAATACACGTCTTCTTAACTTGTGAAGAGCTAGGATGAATCATGACTATGGTATATTTTACGTACTATTTATTTTTCTATTTCCTTCATACAATTTTTTCCTTGCAAGTTCCCATGACCAAATCACTTCGTCTGCGTTTGGGACTGTGTTTTATCTGTTTTTTTTTTTAATCTTTCCCGTCTCAGGATATACAAATACTGGTATCAGAGTAAAAATGCAGGCAAGCTGGTGCACATCCATAATGAGAAACCTTGAGACCAGGAACAGAAGGGACAAGGTTAACACCGTCTCATAACCAGCACAAAAATTATTTAATTAAGAACAAGCTTCTTCTTTGTTCTCTGAAACAGTTGCCCACATTTTCTGCGGTTCTACATCGTGAAAGTCTTAAAAAATCACCTCAGATTTAAAGGCAGTCTGCGAAGTTGGGTGCACACTAACAATTATAAATGATAAAGCCATGACTCCCAAAAGCGACGTTGTGGGAAGCTTCATTACAATAGCTTTCAGCCTTTCCACTCTGGTGAAGAAGGAAGACCAGCGGAACTGTACAATGGAAAGTAACGGCCGGCCGCAAGTCGGCAAGCCAGAGTGGAAAGGCTGCCGCCATCTATGAGCCACAGTGGCAACCAGATACGTGGCTTGCCGCCATCGCTCATAGATGGCGGTAAGTGCTCAGAGTTCGGTGTCTTCATTTTTTTGCGGGGGACACGATCCTGGGGAAACTAGCCCTTAACAGCTCTGCTGTAAAAGAGGAAGGCAACACCACACTACCACAGGATACTGGGGGACTAGAAAGGCAGAACCGCTGGTGTCTTGGACCGATAGAAAAAAGGGGATGATGTCGAGCACACACAAATACCAAGACATAAAGAAACTAGACGGACAAAAACGCAAGTGTCCCGTCGCCTAAAATGAAGGACAGTAAACACACACTCACTGCCACACGACGCAAAGGAACTAGACATACCGAAATATCCTTATATGAGGATAATGAGGGAAACTAATAGGGTTACTTGAGCTGGAAATTGTATAAGTATGCCGTCACTGACTTTGGATAATGAAACATGGGGGTTTTTGGTATGTCCAGTTCCTTTGTGTCGTTCAGTAATAAATGTATGCTTACTCTCATTGATTTTGGGCGACGGGACACCTGCATTTTTGTCCGTCTGGTTCCTTAATGTCTTGTGGTATTTGTGTATGTTCGACGCCATCCTCTTCTTTTTGTCTGTCCAAGACACCAGTGCTTTGGTCTTTCTAGTTCCCCTCTGTCGTGTGGTAGTGTGGTGATGCCTTCTTAATTCTGTAATGAAGCTTCTACCTAGGGTGCCTCAATGTCCTTCTGTTTAGGGTGATGCCATCCTTTGTAGTACCCGATGCCGACAGCTCGCGCTCAGGGGGAAAATACAAAGAAATCAACGAAAACAAAATGTCGCCATAGCACAGTCAGCGCCACAAACGCGTGCAGGGACACGCTCTTTCACGCGCTTCTGAACAAAAAATAAATATAAACGTGTGGGACAAAATGGCGAGATGCCACCACCCTAAGGAAAGCGCACATGAAGGCACCCTACTTCTACCCCAACGTCGCTTTTGGGAATCGTAGTTTTACCATTTATAATTGTTGGTGTGCACCGAAATTTGCAGGCTGCCTTTAAATCTGGGGTGATTGCCTAAGCATTTCACGGTATTAGCGATGTGCGCGGCCAAAAGCGTCGCTGTGGTCAGCTTTCTAGGATTGGCCAAACCATGGGCATTTGAGCACTGTCAGATTGTCAACTTTGACGGTGTTAGTTTCGGATTGCGATGGCTCCTAGCTTCTACTGAGCTTTTTAAACACACCATCGAACTCGTCGTCACACCCGATGGTAAGTAGCCAGAATAACAACTGGTGACGTCACGGCGAGGCAAATACATGTCGTGACGTCACGGAGGGAAACCATAAGAGGGCGCCACCGAAACATCTCGGCGCTAATAGAAGCGCAGATGATGTGGGGATGTGTTTCAGAGAACAAAGAAGAAACGTTTCCTTAATTAAAACGTTCCTGTGCTGGTTATGAGACGGTGTTGTCCTTGTCCCTTCTGTTCCTGGTCTCAAGGTCCGTCTTTTCCTAACTAGCTCGCCAGCACTCTCTCACTCCTGAAGCTGCCTGCCTGTTGTTAATCACGTACCGCCTTTAAAGCCGGAGTCCACACCGCTCATACATGATACAAAAAGACTGACTGCACACACGAATCACCGCAGTACCACTGGTTCGAATGCCGCGTGCCCAAGTTTTCTCCTCGAACTCGTTGCCAAGTAGCATTCGAAGCACGGCTCTCGCGTTGACTCGCGTTCCAATCTGTGTGCAGACTGTCGTTTGTGTGATGTATAAGCGGTGTGACTTAATGCCACAGGCACATTGCTAATATATCAAACAAAAGACAGTGTGAAGACACTGTATGAAGCGTCTTTGATCCTGGTATGACAATCCAGTCATACCGGGAATACAAAAACCGTCTGCAGACATGTTCGAAGTGCGAGAAGACAATTCTGTCATCATGCCTGCAGCGAATACCGTGTCTTTTGTGTGATGTACGAGCAACGTGACAGCGTCTTAACGCGTCCATGCTCCGGACAGTCGTCAGCGGCCGGAAAAGCGGTGCAAAAGTCAAGGATCGCGCCTCATCCCTCTTCGCCAGACACGCGGAGGTGCCCCAGTTTTCGTTGACGATCCGTCGGCCGTCAAGAACGCGCTCTCGTTTCGGGCGGACGCTGCATAGCTGCACCCCCAGCCGCCCGAAACGAAGGAAGCCCTTGACCGCAATCGGGGGGACGCGCCGTTGTGTGCGTGCCCGAGGAATTCATTTTCCGTTTCTCACGTGCTTTCTCACTCGGCCATCCGGCTGCCGGCAAAGAGAGAGGCACGGCGGTGCGCTCGCCGGGCACCGATCATCCGTCCTCCGCGCGTAAGGAAGGATGCGGGATGACGGAACCCTGAAGGTATCCACTCCACTTGAAACAGCTCCTGGGGTTGGATCATGGTCGCCGCAAGAGCGATGAGCGTAACCTAGTTCACTTCTCGCGGAGAAGCGAGTGGTGTACACCAAACATTGCTAAAGTAATAGGGCAGTTTTTTTTTATATGGTTTTGAAAAAGTTGCAACAGACGTTTTGTAAGAACTCTAAAAAGGCCGCTCGCGAATCGCACGAGGGATCGTGGGAACGTCCTATTCTCCTCTTTGCCTCCACAGCATCTACCCAACCATATATCACTTGGTACTAAAGAACAATATATATATATATATACAAAAAGAGAAAGAGATGGATAGATAGAGAGAGAGAGAGAGATAGGGAGAGCTTATTCCGTCACCCTTAAGGTTGCCTCCGTCATCTGCTACAGCCGGTTGTGTACAGTCAGTTCCCAGCACCACTTTCGGCGCCGCGGAACCGCACTGCGTATACGCTTTTATATAAAGGTTTATTCACCTTCGCCGAAGGTTTTCTGGAAGGCCGAGAAGCTCTCGCACTCAGAGACGTTGGCAGGAGTAGATGCCAGTTGCTCCAGGTGTTGTTTTAACATCCTCCCGATGCCAAAGACGAATATGTCGACGCCCATTTTCTTAAGTTTCTCAGCCTTCTTAACGGGATCCGGACCCATGGTAGCCATACCATCGGTCACCAGGATGAGCAGCTGCAGGGAAATTATGTTTTGTAGGCACATACTGGGGTAGTACTAAAGATTCCTTCTTTTCTAAAAAAACTCAAAAGCGCAAACACCAAGGAAAAGAAGAGGAGACAGGACAGAGCGCTTGCTCCAACTGGAAGTGTAATGCATTCCCCGAGGAAGACATAAAAGAACAATTAGGCATGTGAAGGGTAAAAAAGAAGAAAAATTATTGTTATGGTTTAAAGATGCATTAAAAAAATTTGAACTAATTCTGACTTTGCCCCTTGACACTGGCGAAAAAATAGTGTAATAAAAATTCAGATGTATAGACAAAATCAACAGGTCAAAGATAAGGTTAGAAAACATTAAAGTGACCCGCGTTAAGAAAGAAGGTCGAGGTATCTCATCTCTTTCTCGGACAGCGCTATATCGACCTATATAAACGCCTATACAACAACAACAAAAACGACAACGACAACAACAAAAACAACAACGACAACGACAAGAACAAGAACAAGAACAACAAGAACAAGAACAAGAACAACAACAACAACAACAACAAGACCTGTACCTCAGCCCTAAAACATCATCAGTTATAGATTCACGCAGCACCGCATAACGCCAGTGTGTAGTTCAGCATCACACAACGAGCGCGCCGCTATGCGGAGCGCAAGTTCGTCTGCTTTTTTCGCAGAAGTTCTGGTGACGTCAGAAAAACGCCGAACTCTGATTGGCTCCGATTGAAGGATAGTGGGTAGACCTAAAAACAGCTTGCTTTGAGCTCTACTCCACTGTCCTTCAATCCGAGCCAATCAGAGCTCGGCGTCTTTCTGACGTCACCATGACCCCTGCAAAAGAAGCAGACGAACCAATTACGCTCCGCATAGCACGCTGCGACGCCAAGACGGACGTGTCTACCGCTTGGCGGCGCTTCTCGTCGAGTTTCGGCGTGCTTGCCGCTTGGGGGCGGATCAGAGATCCAGTAACGATGACGTCATACGCAGGTCTTTCTTCTCTTATAGGGAGCTTTGCTCATATATACCTTCTTAGCCGTCGGTCGACTCCTCTGGAACACTTCCCACGCCGCCTGGAGCCCCGCTCCCGTGTTGGTGGCGCCCTGATTCGCGCTGTGCACGCCTTGCATCTTCCTGGAGAGGTGACACTTGTTGCCGGGATCTTTCAGGAAGTCGGCGTGCACCACTGAAGACGACGAAGAGTAAAACGAGACGAAAACAACAACGAGAACGACAACGTATTGTGGTCGATTCGTTTTTTTTCCTACCGGAGCATGACTTGAGATAACCACGCTTATCAGAACACACTCTGAGAAATCTGGAGCATCTGCTTTTCCGCAAAGCACAAGGGGGAGCCAATAAACGAGTTACGAAAATCCCTCCGCGCAACACTGCGCGCGTTGCACAATAGGACCTACTTGTCCACGGAAAGGAATGGCACTGTTTCGGTTGTGATTGTCCTATTGACGAAGTAGTTCATCTCAGCACTATACAATGCCGGGCTCCCCCAGAAAACTTACCCCGGCATTCTATCCCTATAGTATGCGACACTTAAACCGGGTTCACACTGCTTATACGTCATAGGAAAGGAGCGGATATAACTCAAGCCCCGACTCGCGACTAAACAAAGCACTTAGAGGGATTGCGCCGTGATGGTGCGCTTTTCTTTTTCCTCCGCGTGACAGGTTTTGTCGGAGATACCAAATGCACAATGAAGACCAGCGACGTGACTATACGTACTTGCTGCTTGATTGACTGATTAATGCTTGATTGGCTCAATTGAATCGTGGCGTCTGCTGTGTTCGGACTTAATTTCAAACGGAACATACCTATTTAAAGGTGCCCTGAGGAGGTTTCTGAGCTCACCTAAATATGGCAATAACTCGCTCTGCGGGCTCTAAGCATCCTAGAAATCCATAAATCAAAACGACGCGCGTCCCATTTCCCCATTAAAGAAAATATATCAGAGATCGAGAGCACACCGAGGTCATATCTCCGCCGATTGGAGGAGCATTATTCCGGCAGCCAGGACGACGTGTAACCAATGAAAGCGCGACATTTTGTTGGCATTGCAAACGATGTTATTACGAAATGTGTATCCCTTGGTAGATGATGAAAGCAAAAAAAGAGTAGTCAAAAAATGTATAATCTTTCTTTTTTTTTTTTTTTCGGAGGAAACATATTTTTTCTGCAATGGTCTCAAAAACAGCGCACAACTTTTTTTTGTTTTGTTTTGTTTTGTTTTGTTCGGGAGTGATGTGTTCGGTCGTCATCTCTCGAGCGCACGCTCGCTGGGTTAAATCGTAGTCCGGGCTGTATGGACAATGAGCCGCGCGCATTCGAGATATCACTCCGCAGTTCCATCAGTTGAAGTCGCGAGGATCCTTCGCTTGCTGTCGGCTGAGGGTGATCCTGGTTTCGAAACATGCTCATCCAATCGCCAGAAATGACCTCAGTGCTTAATTAAACACGAGGAAGATACATAGAAAGGGGGGACGGACAACAAAAAGTTGGAGGTCATGGTTGTCCCTCTACCCTTCCTAAGTATCTTCCTCACGTTCAATTACTGTTACCAACACGCTCGTTTTGTACTTAACTTGACCTCAGTGTGTTGCGATTTTTGATTGCTTTTTTTTTAATAAGAAAATCGGCCCCGTATCGTCATGAGTCAGAGATTTCTAGGATACTTAGAGCCAGGAGAGCGAGGCGTCGCCATATTTAGGCGATACCAGAAACTTCCTCAGGTCACGCTTAATAGCATGCAGGAGCCATTCGGGGGCCAAACTTTCAAACCCGTCTACAAAACAAATATTAACGTACAATGATATGGTCTACTATCATATGTACGCCAGCAAGAACAGCACTATCTTCCCATGACAATTTTTTGTTCTCCCAGTACCGAATAGAGTGTCATGACCTGGTCTGCAGGACTGCCTCGATCCGACGCGGCACTAACAAAATCAACACATCTCAACCCGATTTCAGACAGCCAAATTGAGTGCAGAATTGCCCGAACATTTTACGTGACTTGTGAAGTAACATAATTAATGATTTTATGAATTCTAGATTTGAGATCACGAAGTATAAAATTTGGGCTTTAGTGAAGCCTGCGTTCAAGCAGCTTAGAACGTTCACTAAGATAAGGTGTAAGCGTTAATCGTTTCGCACTTCAGTTTACTCGCTCAATAACCAAGAATACCAAAACTTGTCCCCAGTTGTTACTCTTCAGTTTATCATGCCGATGTAATGCACCTTTCGAAGCGCAGTAATAATAATAGTCACGGACTCTTATAGTAACCGGTTCCTTCCCCGCGATCACGATGGTTTCTGCGTACGAACGCCGCCAGATTTCGCTTGAAAGGGGCACCAACAACTACTACTGAAAAAAAAAAAAAAAGAGGTTGGGTGAGTGAAATACGTGACGCAGCGTTTGCAACCACGTTCGGCGCAAGGAGTAAGCACACGTAAAAAGGCGGCCACGCACTGTCGGAGTGTTCGGAGGCGCAGCCCACCGCTGTCGTCACCTCAGCCCAACAACAAGCGGGCGCCAAGTGGCTCCTAACGACTCTACGTGCCAAGTGCACACACTCTGTCACGCCGCCGCATCTGTCGTCTCGGCCACGAAGAGACGTCATTAGCACTTTCAATTTTCTTGTTTCTTATTGTCTCTTATCTTCTTCTCAACGCTCGCGTAGTGCGCCTAGACTTCAGAGTGTTTCCAACACAACTATCGGGGTCACGTGGCTTGTTGGCCGCCTTTTGCCGCACAGGCTGCGAGGAGGAGGAGGAGAAGCCGAAGGCGTCCATCGCTCGAAAGCGTCTTCGAGCTTCGCAGACGTTCGTAAGACGGACACGCGCACGCGCAATGACCACACAAACCGCGGAGAAAGGTGTGTCGCCATTACACTGCAAACGCTCTTCGCGGTTTGAGTTGGCCCCTCTTCTTAAGTCTAGGTTCTCTACGTTCGTACCAGAGAACTTGGCCCCTTAACACGATTCGTCGCATTTGCGTTTTTTGCCTGTCCTTCGACGCCCATTTTTGTGTTTGGATGCTTAAGTTTTGTGCGCGTTAAGACGGGTGTGAGCGCGACATTTGGTTTCGCACTGTCTACGACACGGATGTTTTTGAGGTCTCGTGGAGTGTCGCAAGCGCCAACGTTGCTGGCGGATTTGTTTGTCGCAGCGTTTTACGCGCGTTTAGACGTTTTGATTAGGCGTGTGCGAGTAGGGGTTAGAATCAACTAGCGCAACGTCCTTCGTAGCTTTCGCAGTGCAAGAGATAGAAACAACATGCCAACTTTCTTAACATTGCTCGAGGTACGCATACGACACGGCCCTATTTGATTCGAACCGCTTTTAGAACCCAGTAGAGGCTTCGCCTTCAGCACGAGCTTTCCACCTTCGATAACGCTTTGTCGCAAGTGCAGCAAATGCAGGGGAAGGCAACGAGCACGTACTGCAGGCAGAGCTCCTACGGGGCTCTTAACCTGTCACCCACTTTAGTAAGTTTAATAACCTTAGTAAACGCTAATTGCAAAAAAAAAAAAGATTATGTTTATAATGCGACTTACACGTCATACAATTGAATACCGCACCTTGGTGAAAAGAAAGCAAAAATATTAGTATATTGTTTGAGTATTGCTCAAAAAATTAATCTGTGCCACTGAGAACGATAATGGCACGATAAAGTACAGCCGTTCTTCGGCGGCACGTTAAGGGAATATTGGAGTGAATCGGGTAATCCTGCCTTTCTGCCATTTTATTTACACCGGGTTCTTTTTAATATCTATAAAATTAATGAACGTAAGCTCCATACGTTGATAAACGTATGTTTCCTTCACTGCCGTTAGCTATAGTTAAACAATTAACAGATAAGAAAGCCATATATTTAATACATCCGTAATGATGTCTCCTTTAATTTGCTGCCAACTGCACCTAAATCAAATGCAAGCTCAGGTCCAATGCCGTGTCACGGTGGCGATAAACCCGTTGAATGACCTTGAGAATAATACAAAAACGATTCAAACGCGTTTTTTTTTCTTCGCGAGTAACGCTAAGAGGCTGTGGTCGTTTATCAAAAACACCAAAACAAATAAACCCTCCGGAAAAAAAAAAATTCGATTGGAAGCATGGAGAAAATTGAAGGACACTAATTTTGCCCATAATTTCCTGGTTTGTGACTTGTTTTTGGTGTTCTTTCGCGGCCGATACCGCCATCTCATTCCCTCCGGGACAATAATAAGATGCCAGTGATTTGCTACGACCTGCGTTCCTTAAGCTTCCCTTAACTACAGATCTAAGATACCAGAGAAAAATAAATATTAGAGATGGATCGGAAGGACGGTCACGCATGAGCCAGAGAAATTCAAGGACTCCCATAGCATTCGAAAGTTCTCGGCGGCTATTCGGACCGAAACTAGGGGAGAGGATGCGGCGAGAGCGCGGCTAGGGACGTGAGAACGCCGAGTCCTGGTTGGAGACGCGCGTTCTCCGTCTGCTTCTCTCTCCCTTCCTTCCAATCGTCGCCTTCTGTGCGCTGTCGTGTTCGTCTACTGTTCTCTGGAACGTGTACCGAGCACGAGCATTAGCTCTGTTTTACCGCTCATTCACAGTGGAAGCGGATCCCCGATCGCAAAGCGGTTGCGAACGCGGTTGTATAAAGATCCAGTACAGTTGCACGCGCACTGGATGTCATCGAGTGCGCGTGCAATTGTACTGGATCTTTATACAACCGCGTTCGCAACCGCTTTGCGAACGCGGATCCGCTTCCAGTGTGAATGAGCGGTTAGAGAGTACCAGATGTTGCGGATACGTCCACATGGCTCATTGACTCGGCATATTTTTTGCCCGGGTGATAAGTGACGAAAAGGTGCCTATGCTGTTCCTAGCTTCCGCAACAGCAGTGCTCGACGAGTACTTTCATGTGTCGTGTACTTTGTAGCTACTTATTCGCTAAAATTAAAAATCACATGCTTTTAAAAAAAAATGTTTCTAGTTGTATTCTAGAAACGAGCTTTGACGACAGATGAGGCGCTCTCTGCACGGCGCACGCTGCTCCCCGCACAATTTCTACGCTCAACGGCGCAGGGTCACGTGACCTCACATGACGTTCCTTGGCATTGCTACTTCACGTGGGACTGTGACGTCATTGAGAATTTGACGTAGCCTGCCATGACGACCCTACACGCAACGCACTGGGAGATCAGCTGAGAAACCTCGTCAAAAACAGCTGTCGCAATAATAAACAAAACAAGAAACCCTTGCAGAGTAACACTAAGAAAGTCATACTGCAGTAAGAGAGTTTAAAAATGTTGCGGATGCTCGAGAAAATAACAAAAAGAAAAGCCATGGTTTGTAAACACTGCCCCCCTTCCCCCCGCTCTCTTCACGAAGCAGTCGAGTCGTTCACACGACGCGGCCATAGATTACATTTTTCAGTTGTGCGCTGGTCCGGTCGGAGGCCCTATGACGTAACCCTGCCGCTGCTATTTGGAGCGCCCGCAGCCCGGTGTTGTCACCTCGTACCCTTTCGGTTCCGTTTCCAAGCCCAGGAGAAGGGGCCAGGACGCGCGCTCGCGGGCGCGGGTTCCCTACGGTTTGCTCCGCGAAGCGGAGAGAGACCGAAATAGAAGGGGCCGTCAGTCACGCCGGCGGATTGCCACCGAAACAAAGCAACTCCCGGGGCTAGAGACCTTGACGATGGAAGCGCGTATACGCTCAAGGTACCGCGCGAGAGTGGTCAAAGTCTGCCGAGAAAGTTGGAGCCCAAAAAAACGAACAAGGAGGAGGCATAAAAAAAAATTGTATGAGGGGAAACAGCAGACGTGGTTGTCGATGGAATGCATGTCCCGATTGCAAAGATGGCGTTTCGGGGATGTTGAGACACCGTTAAAGACCGAGGACGAGTTCGCGCTTTCCACTTTTCTCTCGCTTCCTCTTCTCCCCCCTTCCACCCTGTCCACCGTTGCCTGTTTCCTCCTCCCCCATGATAAGAAGGATCTTCTGCCTTGCAGAATCTCGACTCTGGTCGCCGTCCTTTAAGCGGATCTGAGAGGGAATGATGGCTGAGTCATGGCCTTTTAGTTAAGTCGTGCTTGTTCGTAATACAAAATACAGTCTGCAGCGATTACCTGAGGCGTGTTTCTGCTTTGTATGGCGGTCCTGTCACGATAGTCATACAATCAACTGCCTGCCGACATGTGTGAAGCGTACATATATGTAGGAAGCACAGATGCGTGGTGAACGCATGAGCCATGTCCGCGGACATTCTGCCTCCATGTCTGTAGAGAAACTCGGTGACTTTTGTATGATCTGTGATCAATGTGACGGCAAAAATGGAAATCAGATGGTGAGATACCAGCTGCCCAAAATGTTAAACTATTTTTTGTCGCGTAATATTACAATTGAAAAGCTGTTCTAACAAACGCATATTATCTTTAATAGTTTCGTGAGAAATCTTACTGTGTACTCTTGAGAGCGTTTTTTGTTTTGAGTGCCTCTTCTGCTGTTGCTGTTGGGGGAGGAGAGGGCACTGTCAAGCAGTTTTGTACTGCTTTTTTCCCTCCTCCCTCTCTTCTTGCTTGAAGAGGAATAAAGAAACTTGAAACTAAAGAAACTTGAAACTTCAGGGGGTGGACAGCGCAGAATGGCTGGCTGTCACGAGGGTGTGGGTGAAGGCCGTGGCGCGTTCTTAAAGGGATTGTCCGGTAAACTTTTTTTTTCTTTCAGAAAACAATTAAATTATGTTATCGTCGCTTTTTTAGGAATATAATCTGGGCACAACATCCGAATTTTTATACCTTTCGCCGCACAAGTCATTCAGTGTTAAATAGAGCCCAACTGCTCAGATGGCACATGCAAAACACTACGTTTTTGTTGGAAAAAGCGGGAGCTCTTGCAAAGAATGCCACTAGTGCCACTAAATAAGCTTTGCTTAAGGGTAGCGACGCCTGGCCATATTGTGGCTTAAAATCATGGTTGTTAGTTATCTGAAGCTTTATCTGAATTCACAGAAAACTCTTTTCCGTCCTCCACAAATGTTAAAACAGTTCGCTACAAAGTAAAGCAATATAACATGAGCTTTCTAACACCGAATCTAAGGCTTTGGAAATCGCACTTTTGAGTCATGACGATCGGCAGTTGCGTCTGCCCTGCACAAGCACCAAAATGGCGGCGCCCACAACAATATCGGGGAACGGGGTGCCGATACTCTAAACACAGCTCATTTAGTGTCTCTAGGCGCCACGACAGCTTTTGATTGCTGCCTCAGTAAAATAACTTCGTTCTAAGAAAGACAAGATTTACGGTATTGAGTAAAGTCGAGTTCTTCGACGATGACCTTTGTACGCACCATCGTTCATGTTGACTAAAGCAGGGAATAAGTCAACGTTCGCGACTGTGAAGTGACCTTGCCTAATGCGACATCACGGCACGACCTGCCACACAATGTTGCGAAATTTGGCGTACAGTTGCGTGTTGATGTCCATAATTGATTAAAAAAAATATTGGGGCGTCTTTTAATGAATTAAATATCACATCTGACTATATGTACGCCCTCTCCACGTGAGCTCACAGAAACTTAGTAAAGTCCGGATATCGGTGGACAATTTTAACTTGCACGTGATTATGGACGCTTTGCACCAGCTGTGCATGAGCGGCGCCATAGCCGACCTTCAGTTTTGGCTTCCTCTTATTACGTTTGCTTCACTTCATAATTACCCCAACAGGGCAGGCTATTGCCATTTTTTATTCTACTGTGTCCGTGTCCCCAGCACTGGCCTTTGTAGACGCTCGTCAAAGCCCGCTTCAGTGACTCGTCATCTGGCTAAGATAAAAGAAGGTCAGCAATGGCGGCCGTAATCTTGCTCGTGTGCGAAGCGTCTATACTTGAAGATGTTTCATACTCATCGACGATGAGTGGCTAGAAAGCGACCTTGCCCGCGACACACTCTCACCGGCGTCTTCGCTGAAGGATATGACGGCCACCCTTGTGGTGTTGGGCGCCACGTCGAAGCCCTTGAGGAAGGCGTGCACGAAGCCGGTCTCGACCTCGAAGCCCGCCTGTCCCACGCTGCCGGAGCGATCGAGCAGGAACACCAGGTCCGTGTTGTTGCTCTCGATGCCTCGCCAATCGAACACGTTGCCGTGGGGCTCCTCCGCCTGCACATACTGCAAGCGTCCAGTTCAGACGGAGTGGGACCCCTTCTACAAGATACTAAAAATAGAATTTAGGTTACTGAGTACTAGGGAACAAAAGTATCTGAGGAGACTAGTCAATACTCAAAGATGAAAATTATTAGAGCAGACTACAAACTACAGGGTGTCACAAAAAAAAAAAAAAACTACAGGGTGTTTTTAACGCAAAAATAAGCTAGGCACCACTGAACGCTCATTCTCCGTCCAAAGGTAGCGCTAGAGGTCACAACCAGATGTCAAAGTTTCAGCCCGATCCGACACCATATTCAAAAGTTAAAAGTGATTTTCTGAAAATTTCAATGGGAAAATAGTGGCTGACGGAGTTTTCGAATACATGGGGCTCTATGGCACCAGAAACCAAAAACGGGCAAAAATGGGCTCCATTTTCCCATTGAAATTTTTAGAAAATCACTTATAACTTTTGATTAAGTTATCGGATCGGGCTGAAACTTTGGCATCCGGTTGTGACCTCTAGCGCTACATTTGGGCGGAGAATGAGCGTTCAGCAATGCCAAGTTTATTTTTGCGGTAAAGAAAACCCTGTAAATTTTCTTTTTTGACACCCTGTATATATCCGTTTTCCATAATAGGCACATCTTGAAGCGAGATCTGCCTATATTACGGACGTTGCAGGCTTGCCCTGATGATGCCTCAAAACCGAAACCGAATCGAGTGTTTCGTGACTGCGGCTGCTACTACCCAAGCTCGTTGTCAGGCCACTTCTGCAAGGAGTCAATAAAATTGCCAGTAAACACACAAAAACGACACCGATACAATTATCTTACAGATTATCACCTTTTTAGTAATAACTGTTTCAATATTCATTACATGTTGCTTTTAAGTTAGGAAAAAAAAAACACAAGACCTTTTTCGTCAGAAAAATGTGAATATGAACGTCAAGTCTGGTAACAATGTATTTTTTCCCGAATCCTTGCCGAATCTTCAGAAAAGTTCGGCAAAAGTACGGCTTTGCCTAATCTCAAGATTTGGCGCCGAACTTCGATTCGGCAAAATTTCGGCCCAACAGATTTACAATTATACAGAAGGGATGGTGTGACTTGAGTAGCGCCCTTCGTTGCAGTGGAAGTCTGGACGGAATAAAATACGGATACATGAACAGTGAAAGACGCACAAAATTCAGACAAAGTGTATACAAACCTAATTACGAGATACCGCGAGACGGACGAGCAAAGGACTGGACAACGACCATGTGTCTCAAGACTTCGTGTTTGTGCTGCCCTCCTTTTGCTCCGATATCGGGGTTTTTCGTAATTTTATATGCTCCATCCACGCCAGATGCCGAAGTGTCCTAACAAATTGTACATCTTATCCAAAGGTTATGAGGATATTTTTTTTTTTTCTCTCTTGAACTTTCAACGTGAAAATGGGTTTGTTTACGGTAGTTGACGTCAATCATCTCCACGTGTACGAGGGCTTGGTCGGTTGCCATTTTCCCAATGAACATGTTCGAAAATCGCTTATTGTCGTTTATTTTAATAAGATAATGTTTTGTTCGGAAATATCGGCAATTGAACCCGACTGCTAGCGCTACATTCTGGAGGAAACTGAAACTAAAGTTCTACGACGCGTAATTCATTTTTGCAAAGGGAAAAAAAAAAATGTTTTTCGGGGACGGTCTGTACTTTAAAGCATAAAAAAATTGCATTACGTAGGAAAACATGCGTACATTTACCTGCAGGGCGAACGACGAAGCGCAGAGGCACGCGGATATGAAGATATATCCCTTCACAAAAATAATCAGTGCGCCTGACATTTTAGGGGTTTCGTTCGAGCCAATGCTGCTCTTCACTCGGCGTTTGAGCCCATGCGACGTCGCCACAGAGAGAGCTGACTTGAACGCGACTATACGACGCTCGACTCCCCTAGCGCCTTATCAGTCGCGGGTGCCGTCGCTTCTGTAATGTTACACCGAAAATCCCTTTGGCGCAACCGAGCGCAATCCGCTAAAGACGATAGCCGAGGAAAATGTATACGCGTTTCCACCGAATTAGGGCGACAGAATCGCGGGTCTGACTGAATGCCGGGGGGGGGGGGGGGGGGGGGGGGGGGGTTCAGGAAACGGGTGGAACCATCCGAGTATTATAGTCTAGTTACTAACAATTTAAGGAACTCAGTGCGTTGTTTGTTACGTTGGCATTTTCTTTTGCTAATGTCACAATCTAATTGGTTATGAAGCGGCAATAAAATGCTCGGGCACCCTGCGTTCTTTTGTAAACTGTCACAGAATTCTGCGTCCACCAGAGGTAGAAGCAGAATTTATGTAATCGTGGGAAATGAACAATACTCGTTTTCTCCTCCAAAAACTAGCAAAAAAAAAAAAAAAAAAAAAGTGCGAGTCTTTGCGGAGCAATACTAATTTCCTACTTTATATAGAGAAATAAAATATACTAGGTGAATTTTAATTAGATATACGTTATTTTATCAAGACGTATGCACGTTTCAAACGCCAAAGGTATCCGCTCTTCCCCCGACGAACAAATATTGTAAGAACTACTTTGTGCAGCGTATGAACATGGCGCAAAACTTCCTTTTTTCTTTTTTTCTTAGGCGTAACGGCGCTCAAGTGATACGAGTTCTGCTTTCCGATGTTAGTTTCTGTGTGACACGCCGTATAAATTACAGTATCCTCGTGCGTTTTTTTTTAAATTTTTTCTCGAGTATCCGTTTTATTTTTTATATTTTAATATTGCGACGCAGTTTTAAATAGTAAGTTTTTTTTTCCTTTGTAAAGTCCTGTTTAGTCGGAGTTGATGTAATGATTAGGGCTCGGCGGTGATGCAGTGACACGTTCTCAGGATTGGTTAGAATATAAACTAAAAATATTAAGCATATCGGTTGTCCTAAAAAATAAAAAAGAAGCACATCGGGAGACCATCTTCTTAAGTGATGTTCATTATTACATCGTTTACTTTACAGTCGAAAGAGCAAAATGTAAAAATAAGTTCTAAAAAAAAAAAGTTTTGCATTAATATTCAATGTTTTTTTTTTTTGTTTTTTTTTTCGTGACTGCACGAGCGAATTGGTATGTAGTTCCGATGCTTCACACAGACGAACAAAACTAATGTTGCTCTTTTGTTTTGGGGCTTGTCGTGTTTTGCTGAGTTTGCGCCTTTCCCAACTTTATAAACACGCTTGCGTTGCACGCGCGAACCCCAACGAGAGAGAGAGAGAGAGAGCTAAAACAAAAAACAAAAACAGAAAAGAGTTTGTTTGCTTTCACGAAACAAGGCCATCGCAACTCCCAAAAGCCAGACCGCTTCGTCGAAGCGTTCCCTGGTGGCCATTGTTATGTTGACTCGCGTAAGCTCCCGTGTTTACAGGCTCTTCGACAGCGCTACACAGTACACGGCCCATGAATAACTTTCCAGGCTCATATTTTACTCGTAGTCAACAACAATGTTTTTTTTTCTCGATAAGTAAATACTGAGTATAAACTTCCGAGCAGTCAAAAAAAGAAATAACAACGCCTTGCACTCTTCGTCTGTGTAATTGAAGCGCGCGGCCGTCTTGTGTGCCCGGCAGGGGGAGCCAAAAGCCGACTATTAGTGATTTTCATCACGCGCTTTCGAACCCCCTTTCACGGCTTCGTCTTTAGGCCGCCAGGAGCCGTGAATATCTGTTTCGCTCGGGATGGCTAAAGAGCGAACTTGCCGCCACAGCTTTCTGTTGTCGCCACTAGGTGGCGTCGATTTCGCTCAAGTCGCCAATAAAATTACCTAAATCGAACTAAAAAAAAAAAAAATTTAAAACACGAGAAAATAGTAAATGCAGCCGGGAAAAAAAAATTAGCTTTTTATGAACGTTAAAAGAGGGATGATAAGCTATTCAGACCTTGCACCATTAAGGTGGATGGTCAACCTATATAGGATAATTGCCACATCATTTTTGTTTCGTTATTTAGATGGTTTTCGACAAGGTTTTCCAGGTAATTTCCGATTGGGCATATAGCTTCACCAACCTGGATTATCCAAATGTACGAGTTTGGCACACCTTCCGACGTTAGATTATTTACGTGCGTCTCATGCAGACCTGGGGCCCTAATTTGGACAGCTGTCGAGAAAGTCAGCGAGATATCCGGCGGGCGTGATTGGCCAACGCCGCACTTGACCTTGGCGCCGGCCAATCAGAGTCGCCGGTTTTCTCGCCGACGTTTTCGCCAAGTGTTGAGATTAGGGACCTTGTACGGTATTCGTGACGAGCAAGGAAATTACTTGTAATAGATTACTTTTCGGAGTAATTTTGTAATAATTTGAACACGTGTATTAGGTATGTTCTCGCAAGAGGATTCAAATTACTTTAGGATGTACTATAGTTACCTAGCTGTCACCGTTACTGTTTTTTCTCTCCCCATTTTAATGGTGCCCTTTGTTTCTGAAATGGGTAAATAAAGTGGTTCATAACCCGGTGATTCTAATCCTATAACGGACAGTGTTAAAAACCCGTTTTCGAACAGGCAAAAAACGAAACTGTCGTCCTAAAAAAAAAAAAAGAAACGATCTGATGTTATCAGAAAAGGCAGCGATTATACATTTTTCAACTAATGGCAGACTCATATTATCGGGTAATCGAGTAATCTAGTTGAATACTTTGTTAACTAAGAGCAGTTATAATTGTAATTGATTACTCTTTTTTTTTTCAGTAACGTGCACAAGGCTGGTTTCACGTTTTGCTTTTATAGAAGCAGAGACATCATATTTACGGGTTGCACACGTTCTTGTCTCGACTCAGTGCGTGTGACATTAACATAGCCACCGAAAACATAAGAATCGGCGGGCGAGGAGAGTCCCCAAGCATCAAATTACCGCTTCGCGGCAGACGAGATTGCCACATTTGCTGATAAGAATGCCTTGAAATATTCACGAAGCTAGAAGTGGCTCCTTCATAATCATCAACATAAGCAATCGCTCCCTGCATTCCTTCTGCTCTCACTGAGTATACAGTAATAGAATACAGCGCTGATTACGCAAAAACGTTGTAGACATGTATTTTTTTTAATCGCGGTATTGATTTTGCTTTTTGATTATAAGGAATTGACGAAGAAGCCGCCACACAGCGAGGAGCGCACCAATATGGCGCCGGTCATGTGAGGCCAAACATCGTCGCTCTGCCTGCGCGCCCCGTGCGTTAGAGAACAGAATGTTCGTGTAGAACACGATGCGTCCGTCGCGTCACAGATCGCTTATCGCTAAAGTCACCGAGTAAGCTGTTAAGAGCAATGGCACCACCATTAACGACTTTCTCGTGGGCGCCGCCATCTTGGTGCCTAACGTGCAAAGCGGGCGAAATGCATAAGCAATCGTTACGATACAAAAAAGAAGCGACGTTGAGAACCTTAGACGCGGTGTCGGAAAATCCATGGGATAGCGTTTGGTCTCACGGACCGTTTTAACATTTGTGGAGGACGGCAAGTCGCTTCCTCCGATTCCGGAGAAAGCTTCGGATGACTGGCACCAAGATGGCTGAAATTGTCGTCACTCTGAGGCGTATCTTATTTGGTGGCTCCATCCTCATCATCATCATCATCATCATCTTTTTAGGACCCGCAAGAGGTATGTATATACACAAGGTAATGGGCGTGCATATACATCTATAAAAGTAAAAAAAAAAAGACAATGAACACAACAATAACACAGTTATGAAATACTGTATTCTAATTTAGTATGCGCACTTATTCAATTGCCGCTTAGCCGAACAAAAAAAAACTGCACATCTTTTTTTTTTTTTTAAATAGATGCGCTATTTCCAGTTATTTTAACACCTATTTGTAGTGACAGACGCTTTTTTGGCAAGTCTAGAAACGAAAAGTCCCCAGAACAAACATAGCGTCCCTGTTCATTCAATCATCCCGAGCAACGTTCCAGACCAAGCACGCGCGAATCTGTCGCCACCGTTCCGCCGGTGGTCTATAAATAGACGGAAACGTGGGTGTTAACATTACTTACTCCGGTTGTCACGTTGTAAAGGGGGAAAGAGAGAGAGAGAGCAGATGGGGTTCAATGGCTTTACCAGAAGCCAACGCGCCTCACGTAAACAGGAACAGGGCTCGGAAACGTGGGCAGAACCGTCGTATACATCACGCACGAGGGTAACGTAATAAACCACAGGGGCCGGCAAATAGACGCGTCCGTGCAGCCGCGTATATCCAGCGAACGCCACGAACCATCATCACAACCAATTCAGAGCCGCGAACGTATACCACGTGACTACGCGCGTCCTTTCCACGTGTCGCTGCGCCCCCTTCTAAAAGGTCACGTGATATTCACGCGGCACGGTACTGGCTTGGAGGACTGGTAGCGTTTCCCGAAGTCCATCTTTACGTAAAAAGGGGAAGGGGACGATGAGGAACGAAGCGTCGCGGTTCGAGCTGCAGCGGAAAGAAATTTTTCCCCCGAAACGAGCGCTTGGGGGTCGCGGGAAGGGGGGGGGGGGTGGGGGGGGGGGGGAGGGGGGGGGGGTGTATTAGAGGAATGCCGTGCGTTCGTCTTGAGACGGCGGTACTCTACCGTAAACCGATCGCCGTCACCCGTTTTATACCCTTTCCGAAAGGGAGCGTGTTGCACGTATGATGCACTCCGTTCCCCCCTAGGCGACAGTGAGGGGAAAGTCACCGTCATTTTTGATGCTGTCTGATTGGTCCCGTCATCTCGTAGCATCCGGAGCCGCCCATACTGAGAGAGTTTGGCTAATGGGCGGAGCTTGTCGCCCGCTAGAACCAGCGGATTTCGCGATAACACGAAATGGCGTTACTTCTTTGTCTCGTTTATTCCTGAGAAATCGCATAGAGTTCCTATGAGTCAGAGCCACAAAAAAAGGCGGACGGAAGTAGTCTGCCCCGGTTGTCAGACTTCGCTGCTGTGGTTGCCGGGCTGTCAAAATCTCCCTAAGAAGCGTAAACTCTCTCAGTA